TGGACTTGGGAAGAATAAATGTTTGGTAAGCAGAGAACTGTTTTCCTAGACAGGATCACTTTACCAACCATACTACAGAGGCTTGCCTCCCTGTTTATTATAAGATGTTTTCTGTCAATATTGCCAGTCCAGTGTTATGCATACTTAGCTGTTTAGGGTGATTGTTTTATGTTAGTTACTGGGTTAGGTGCGAGTCTTTCTTGCATTGTTATTCAATTGAACCTTAACTCTTTCAACACCGTAGGCCGGTTATCCGGCCAAGAAGCATCGAGTCCCCAGACACCGCAGGTCGGTTATCCGGCCAAGCCGTAGTCACGTCAAAATAGTATATATTTTTATGGACCTACCTGTAATGTCATTCATTTATTAAATCTATCACATTTCACAATGTCTGAAATACATATTCCATTTCAATTTAACATTTTTTATCGTTAAATTAAAAAATCATTCACCATTTCTCGCGATGTTATTGAAAATAAAATTCTCGGACACACATTTCGACAACAGGTCCACATCGAACACGTCAAAGAGGAAAATAAAGTTGTTTTAAACAAATCATTAAATATATTATACAAAGTAATAAATAAAATCAACAAAAATATATCTAAAATTAATCAAACTTACATCTAAGTTAGTATTTCCATCTTTTCGTGCTATCGTGTGTCATGTAAGTCAAATGACATCTTGGCTTTCGTCGCCTTGAATTCTCGGCTCGGACACAATGTTTAATGCAAAAATATATGCATGAAAAATCTTTGTCACAGCTCGTAACCTAGCACAATACATTCACGAAGTTCCATATTTTTAATATATATAGTGATTTCCTGCTCAAAACGTTCAGAATAACACGATTTAACAAAGTTCTTTCGCAAACTTCTGTAATTTATCGAACACGAGCTTGGTATCACAGCTGTAATTTGATTGGCTGCCTTAGGTCACGTGCTCAAAATTGACCAATCACGAAACTTGTAGCAGATTTCAACAAGAAAGCGTCATTAGAAACCATTTTTAATACAATGAAATCGCTTGTTATAACTATGAAAAAACACCAGTCGATGTTACGAGCGTGTAGATGAAGGAATAAGCTTTCCAGCGATGTGTCATATGCCATTCTTCGACGAACATGTTATTCACACGAAACCTCGAAAACGGGGGTATTTCTTCATTTTACTGAGCGGACAGTCGCTGTTATCGGGAAATGGGTGATGACAGAAACTATTTATAATTCTTTTTAAAATGATTTTCCAATTACGTAAACAATGAAAATAAAACAGAAATAGGTACGTGGATATTATGAAATCATATATTTGCCGATAATCGTCAAGTTTTCGCTTCCTTGGTCCTTAATCTGCATGTTAACGTGTTAGCGTACATTTTTTATTTACAACGAATTTAATTATGTTGTAAATGCATTATTTTAAATAATGTGAAAAACATAACTTTCATATTTATAAACCATAGGATCAGACCTTTCAAATGGTGTATAACATGTAGTAGCAAATATATTTTACAAGCAGGTATTTTCTTTGATAAATGTTGGCTTCATCTATCACACAAGAGTCTCTGGGAACTCGGTGTCCCAGCAGTAAACACTTCTGGTTGACTGGTGTTGAAAGAGTTAAGTCATCAAATGAAACTTTTCACAATGTGCTATAAAAAGATGAATTTTGCCCAGTTACTGCTACGTTAAGGTTTGTTTTTGATACATCTGAAGGAATGATGTTGTAGACAGTATTTTGAACCCAACTGGATCTGCTCTGTGCTGATGAAATGTGATGGCAGTATTTGCATGAGCCCTTTCTTTCTTATTGTTTCTTGTCTCCTATGATGAGTGACCTCCAAGAAAGGGGAGATAATAAGTTTGTGTAGCTGGAGATCATCCTCACACATAGGATACATCCATTACCAACCGAACGACATTCCCAGTGATTAAAGTTTTGGATAATTTATTACCATCCTATCCATAGTCTTGATCATGTTTCAATTAAACATGGAAATTATCATTGGAGTCAAACTTATTAACTCACATTGGACGGTGTCTGTACACTTGTATCAATTATCAAAGGTTGATGTCTTAGAGCCTGATACAAGTCCACCTATATTCCAATTTTTGCCAATAGGTCCATAACTTTACTTGAACACTATCAGTGTTAATATGTTTTGTTTTGTTGGTTTCTGGTTTGTATTGAGGGAAGTGTAGGGAAACATTGCATCTTATTTTATCCCAAGTTTTACATCATTAACCATTGTTAACACATATAATAATAACAAAATCATGTCATATGAGACAGTTGATGTAAGGTAAGTTTTGAACCTCTTTCTTTATATCTGGCTTCTTGTCTCCTATGATGAGCGGCCTCCAAGAAAGCGGAGATAATAAGTTTGTGTAGCTGGAGATCATCCTCACACATAGGATAGGTCCATTACCAACCGAACGACAAAGTCTTTATGATTATGCAATCACGGGGCATCAGTTAAGATCTTTTTTTGGCAAATTGATATGTGAACAAGTGAAGATCTTTAAGTTAAATAATGCAACAGATTTTGACCACCCCGCCAATATATTTATAATTGTTGTTGGGATATTCTTTGGCTCAATCTCATTGTGTACAATTTTTAAGGTGAGGTTCTCTAAATTGTTTTTGAAAAGAAAAATATTAACAATTCAAAGTATTATCCAGATGTAGAAGACAGAAATAACATAGGGTAACATACAAAATTCATTATGAAACCCTGCTACCAAATGAGACTAAATATGTTCTTGTTGAAAGTTGTCCGATGGAAATTGAATTGAGATTAACATGGTTATTTCTAAATCTTGGGTGTTGCCCCATATTCAGCTGCTTTCTTGCTGACATTACAAGTCAGCATGCTGTAGCACATGGACTTGGGAAGAATAAATGTTTGGTAAGCAGAGAACTGTTTTCCTAGACAGGTTCACTTTACCAACCATACTACAGAGGCTTGCCTCCCTGTTTATTATAAGATGCTTTCTGTTAATATTGCCAGTCCAGTGTTATGCATACTTAGCTGTTTAGGGTGATTGTTTCATGTTAGTTACTGGGTTAGGTGCGAGTCTTTCTTGCATTGTAATTCAATTGAGCCTTAAGTCATCAAATGAAACTTTTCACAATGTGCTATAAAAAGATGAATTTTGCCAAGTTACTTGCTACGTTAAGTTTTGTTTTTGATACATCTGAAGGAATGATGTTGTAGACAGTATTTTGTGTTTGAGTGTTTTGAACCCAACTGGATCTGCTCTGTGCTGATGAAATGTGATGGCAGTATTTGCATGAGCCCTTTCTTTCTTATTGTTTCTTGTCTCCTATGATGAGTGACCTCCAAGAAAGGGGAGATAATAAGTTTGTGTAGCTGGAGATCATCCTCACACATAGGATAGGTCCATTACCAACCGAACGACATTCACAGTGATTAAAGTTTTGGATAATTTATTACCATCCCATCCTTAGTCTTGATCATGTTTCAATTAAACATAGAAATAATTATTGGAGTCAAACTTATAACTCACATTGGACGGTGTCTGTACACTTGTATCAATAATCAAAGGTTGATGTCTTAGAACCTGATACAAGTCCACCTGTATTCCAATTTTTGCCAATAGGTCCATAACTTTACTTGAACACTATCAGTGTTAATATGTTTTGTTTTGTTGGTTTCTGGTTTGTATTGAAGGAAGTGTAGGGAAACATTGCATCTTATTTTATCCCAAGTTTTACATCATTAACCATTAACACATATAATAACAAAATCATGTCATTTGAGACAGTTGATGTAAGGTAAGTTTTGAACCTCTTTCTTTATATCTGGCTTCTTGTCTTCTATGATGAGCGGCCTCCAAGAAAGCGGAGATAATAAGTTTGTGTAGCTGGAGATCATCCTCACACATAAGTTAGGTCCATTACCAACCGAACGACAAAGTCTTTATGATTATGCAATCATGGGGCATCTGTTAATATATATATTTGGCAGATTTATGTGTGAACATGTGAAGGTCTTAAATTTATGTAGCAAAACATATTTTGACCACCCCACCAATATTTTAATGTTTGTCATTCAGGATATTCTTTCGCTTAATTTCATTGTTTTCATAGAATAAATGTTTGGTAAGCAGAGAACTGTTTTCCTAGACAGGTTCACTTTACCAACCATACTACAGAGGCTTGCCTCCCTGTTTATTATAAGATGTTTTCTGTCAATATTGCCAGTCCAGTGTTATGCATACTTAGCTGTTTAAGGTGATCATTTTATGTTAGTTACTGGGTGAGGTGCGAGTCTTTCTTGCATTGTTATTCAATTGAGCCTTAAGTCATCAAATGAAACTGTTCACAATGTGCTATAAAAAGATGAATTTTGCCCAGTTACTGCTACGTTAAGGTTTGTTTTTGATACATCTGAAGGAATGATGTTGTAGTATTTTGTGTTTGAATGTTTTGAACCCAACTGGATCTGCTCTGTGCTGATGAAATGTGATGGCAGTATTTGCATGAGCCCTTTCTTTCTTATTGTTTCTTGTCTCCTATGATGAGTGACCTCCAAGAAAGGGGAGATAATAAGTTTGTGTAGCTGGAGATCATCCTCACACATAGGATACATCCATTACCAACCGAACGACATTCCCAGTGATTAAAGTTTTGGATAATTTATTACCACCCCTATTGGGTACAAAATAAGAAAGCCTAAGAATGTAATCTAGATCATGTTTAATTTAAAATTATCATTCAGGTGTCAAACTTAACTTACATAAAACCGTAGCTGCACACTTAAATCCACCTAAATTACAGCTTGCACGTGTAAAGTCTATAACTTCACCTGAGCACTATCAGTGTTAATATGTTTTGTTTACTTGGTTTTTGTAGCTTGAGAAACTCCTTGCACATAGGATAGGTCCATTACCAACCTAACAACAAAACTCCACTGATCAGCTGTTCCTTTGGTTGTGTAAACATGTGGATTATTTCTTCAAATGATGTATGTTCCAGGTGGTGCTGGTCAAACTGAAGATGGACAAGGATAGGAAACGCATTCTGGAGCGCAAGGCTCGCTCTCGGCAACAAGCTATGGCCGACAAAGGCAAGCACACAGAAGAAACCATCATGGAGTCTTAAAAATAAATGCCTGATGTGTACTTGTAATGTTTGTTTTGATGTCCAACAGTATAAATTTAGAACCTGAAATGGTTTGTTTGATGTATTCCATGGGAAGAGTGAGTGAGTTGGGTTTAAGGCTACTTTGAATGGTATTCCAGTTATATCATGGCGTGTCAGCTTGTCTGGGGAAAGCCTGAAGTGACGCATGTCTTAGACGTTTACCACTTTGGTGAAACCGAGAACAAGTATGATGCTGACACCTAGACACATAATCAGTATTAACTTGGATTCAGACCCATGATCGTATGTTTCTGGTGTGCCACTGATGTCCCTACATTTTGGGGAGTTAATGTTGCCACCTGGAGGACAAGGCATGGTAACTGTTTCCATTTGGGGGACATGGCATGGTAACTGTTTCCATTTGGGGGACATGGCATGGTAACTGTTTCCATTTGGGGGACATGGCATGGTAACTGTTTCCATTTGGAGGACATGGCATGGTAACTGTTTCCATTTGGAGGACATGGCATGGTTACTGTTTCCATATGGAGGACATGGCATGGTAACTGTTTCCATTTGGAGGACAAAGCATGGTAACTGTTTCCATTTGGGGGACATGGCATGGTAACTGTTTCCATTTGGAGGACATGGCATGGTAACTGTTTCCATATGGAGGACATGGCATAACTGTTTCCTAAAAAGGGAATTGTTTTGTAACGCTGTGATGGCATGACCAGCTGATACAATTGAGTCCCAATATAACGTAATGGGGACCTATTTTTAATCCCACTTGTCCTTGATATTTTTCTTGTTTTGCCATTGGACAGCCTCTGGTCTAGTGGTTGAGCATCTGCCCTGAGAGCAGAAGGTGAGGCTTTGATCACCACAGTGTTGTACCAAAGGACGTTAACAGATGGTACTTGTTGTTGCATTAAGGGGTTCAAACGGACTGGTCGGCTTAGGAATTGGTAAACTGTGTTGGAGAGGGTATTCATGTTAAACTGTGGTATGGTATCTCATTGGGCTGCCACTATTAAAATCGGCATTAGTCCGGACTCACTCACCACCATTGCATGGCAGTACTTGCAGTTGATGAGGACAACACCTGCTCAGGGATGTTTATGTAGTGACATTTCAACCAGGTTGAGCACTGACGATCCCTATGGGGGATCGTGTATATTGTAAGAAATGTTTTCCACACAGTATTACAAATCTATACGAAAGTAAATGAGTTCATGTAATTGGTTCAACACTACTTGAGTTCAAAATTACTCTGCACATAACTTGGGTTGAGCGGTGCACTGTGTAGACATGGACGTCCATGAAACATACAAGTAAGGGATTCTGGGGAATGCCTCTTGAAAGAAGTAACATTTCTAATATTGGAACATTCAGATACATTCATTTCGAGGACCAATTATTTTTACCCCACATAGACAACAAAAAACTATTGTGTTTTATTTGTTTATTTACAAGAACAGAATGATTATGTACAGCAAAAGTTACAGAAAGATTGGACAAAAATGTTACCAGTTACATGCATTTCAGTGAAAATAACATCCATTGCTTGTCCATTTTTATTGAGGTACAATTTCACCTCGCCCCAGTTAGTATTTCTTTACACAGTATCCTATAGTTGTGGCAAGAAGTACATGCATTAATTGTGCAAGAGAAGGGTTTCTAATTTTCAGGTCAAAGCATTTTGAACTGCTTAGAATGACATTCTCATCAACACCTTTCCCAGCACCAATTTAACTCCGACCTCTGTGAGATAATGTTGGTTTTGGAACTGAAAGACTGAACCCACGGAGTGTGTTTTTGAGATGCAACCTTGTTAAACCAATCCAAGTGTGTTCCCCTCATTGTCCTGTATCTAACATTGAGAAACAAAGTAGCGAAGATTGAATCAGGGCAGCGCACAAAATATAAAATATGAAAATATTTTTGATCAATACTATTTCTGTAGGTGTGCAAAGTAACTTGGGACAACAGACTAGTCATGAACATAAAACCCAAATGAACGATGATCAGTTGAGCTAAGATCATTAAGTGAGTGAGTGGTGTTTATGTCCCTTTCAGCAATGTTCCAACAAGATCACTGCAGGAGACACCAATGGCCTTCAAACATTGTACCCATGTGGTGAATCAAATCATGTGATGAGCACATGCTTTAACCAGAAGGGTGTTGCAGCCCACTTTGTAAATGAGTTGATGCAGAGTCACTGACAGCTTCACACAGCATGAAGAAGCACTGGTCCTGGATTTATAGAAGATTGGCATTTCTAGGGAAGACAGTGGAAAGTGACAGCAGTGCTCTCCAGCTTTTCAAGAGGTGCATGGCTGCCATGTCAATACATGCCAAATGCTCTGTTCCATACTGCTGTTGTTTTTGGCAGAAACAACACAACTTAGGATAATATAAATATCATGATTACCGGTATGTAATCATACATTTTTCTTACATATACATTAACATTATATATTTAAGGACAAAATACAATGCTGTTTCCTTGTAATCAGTTTTCCCACTCACTTTGTTGAACAGCAGTTGATCAGACTGAAAAGTGATTTCTTTCACAAAAGTCGATTAGAATAGTTCTAAGATCCAAAACTGACCTGATTGAACATGTTGCTTCATTTATACTTCTACTTGCCTCAAACACAAACACTGGATGAAAACCTAGGGTATACAAATTTATTTAAGCCCAACACATACTGAGTTCTACTTCACAATAGCTATTTACATGAGATTTCTAAAGGTGACACATAACGATATGTTGCAGGATATGACTAGTTGAAAACTGGCAATAACATAGAACGCAAGCCACAGGGTAAGGAGTGACATTATCTGAGTGTTTAAATAGGAAGAGAGTGTGTCTGGTCCTGGACATAAAAGCCCACAAGTTTATAGATCTCGAAACATGTCAGTATGTCCAAATTTAATAACTCACAATTTCAATCATAATCTATAAGTGCTTTCTTCTGCCAAAATGGATTACTGACAGATTCATATGAACAATATATTGATATTTCAGACCTGATGAAAATGAAAACTTAATAGAAATCTCAGTCTTGTGTTTAAACATAAAACAATTGTACAAATCCTTCATAACAAATAAGCACACCAACATAGCATAATATTAATGAAACACAGAAATCACAATCAATGTAGGTTAATACATAGCTTTGAATCTGTTTTCCAAAGAAACATCAATAGCAAAAAGTTATATATATAAAACAAATCTATGACGCTATGTACAGCAGAATACAAATGGCATCTAGCATTACATGGATGGAAGGAACGTGTGGCACAACCAGGTGTAGCATCACTATGTGTACAATATTACAGTCATCAGTGTGTTATCCCAAGGGAGCTTAGAATGAAATTTGAAAAAGCAGCTGATCCAATGACTCGGGTAATGATGCTCTGAGAATATGCCCTCTGGGAAGGGGAATTTGTGGCCATAGCATCATCATCATCATCATCATCATCACAAGATGACTTTGTAAGTGTTTAGATGAGGTTTGGTTGTGTAAATTGTTTGTAATTTCCTAGAAGAGGTGTGTGTGAATATGCCCTCTGGGAAGGGGAATTTGTGGCCATAGCATCATCATCATCATCATCATCACAAGATGACTTTGTAAGTGTTTAGATGAGGTTTGGTTGTGTAAATTGTTTGTAATTTCCTAGAAGAGGTGTGTGTGAATATGCCCTCTTGGAAGGGGAATTTGTGGCCATAGCATCATCATCATCATCATCATCATCATCATCACAAGATGACTTTGTAATTTTTTAGATGAGGTTTGTTTGTGTAAATTATCTGCAAGTACAAATACTTTTTATTAAGAAGCATTGAATATATTGCTATGAAGTACCACAGGTGAGTGGGTGAGTTAAAATGTTACAGCGCATCAGCAATATTACAGGTATATAGCGACACCATTGCTAGGTGTGATAACATTCACGCCACATGCTATTAATTTGAATCTTTTTAGAAAATGAACATATACTTTCTATATGAATAACAATATAACTCAAGAACAAAGTGGGGTTTCAACAGATTCACCTGTAGTCTACTGTTGGTAACTTTTCCAGATATGTGATCTTAGGTGTGGTGGCATGCAAAGTGAATCCACATGGAGCAGAACGGGTCCAAAGCATCCTTGAGATACTGAAACACTTGCACATCAAAACAAACTGGATGCAAATGGATATTTGTGTGTGTGTGTGTGTGTGTGTGGGAGTGTGTGAGTGAGACAGTGTTTTGTGTGTGTGTGTGTGTGTGTGTGTGTGTGTGTGTGTGTGTGTGTGTGTGTGTGTGACAGTGTGCGTGTGAGTGTGTGTGACTGGGTGTGTGTGTAAAGAGGGACATGGATCTGTAAAAACAAGTAATTAACTTGGTCTGGCCTAATACACGAAGCCCCACAAAACATGTAACTATACTTATCTCACCTTACATTAAAATACTAGCCTCTGATTGGTTAAGGAGCAGGCAATTATTTTCTTTGTAGCCCATTCGTGTAGCCAGCTCATGTACCAGTGAGATAAATGTGTTGTCAACTGATCCCTCAGGGCATATGGTGGGATGTACCCTGTGTGATGCTGATACTTCATAGGGTCACACACAGGGTACATCACACCATATGCCCCTCGTGGTCGGCCAACAACATATATTGTTCCATGTCTTTGTTGTCACATTATTCAACTATAGTGTGGAAAGGTTGGTGAAAATGTGTTGGGTGACATGTCACAGAACACACTATACACAGAAGATTTTCTGTAAGAACCAATTCTTGAATAACAGTTATAATTACTATACCAACTATAAGTCTATTTTCTATTTGTAGATTATTCCAATCCACCAAGAATTTTTTAAATAAAAAATAATCCATGAACCAAGAAAAAATATAGTGTTGCCTCATATACAAACATATAACAATGAAACAAAACCACACAGACACTAACCTGTTATACAGGTACATAGGTTAGTTGCTACATAGTTCACATATTGCACAATTAAACACCACACCAAACATAAATGATAACATCACCAATAATGGGTAATACAGTTAGGACATACACAATGTTCATATTTTCTCTCTGCCAGCTTGACTCAGATGCTGATAACCATCGCAAAGCATCAATAACTTGTCCTGCTCTACAAATGTTTAGGATTTCAAGTTACAAAGTATTCATAGTTCATATTTATTTGGGGAAACAAATTTTGTGCTGTGTCTGAATGAAAGTTACCAAATGTCTTACTAGCACAAGTATCATCTAAAAATAGATTCTTTGAATAGAATGCATTTAGAACCTCTTTACATATCATAAAATGCTGCGACATAAGGCCGGCTGGAAGCCAGTCTGTATGAACTGGGCTTTATTACTTCTTGGGACAAAACCCTGGTGATGCCGAGGGAAGAGCTGTATGGCACAATTATTGGTAAGCATCAAGGAAATGGAGAGAGTCTGTTGAATCTGCATCTTAAACCCTGGTTTCATAATCACTGAAGTAGATGTTTATTTAATACCAAACAAAAACTGCATCCAACTTTTGAAGAAATAGCAAACTGTGATTTGAAGAATTCTTTTCATTAATAACTAAACATAAGAATTTCGGAATCAGTGGTGGAATTTCCAGGATTTTATCAATGAAATCATCAAGGACAGGATCTCTAAACAACTGGACATGTGTAGTAAACAGTGCATATGAAACACAAAGGCAATGTCATCTATATCCCTGCTACATTTGAATATGTTAATAAAATCATAAACTCAAGTATATGTATGTCACATAGCTGATGTAACTAATCCAAACTGTGCTATACTTGCGAGTGCACGTGACACTGTGACAGACACTGGCTGAGTCTAGGAATCCTTCTGTCCTGCAAATGCTTTCTCTACCTTCCAATCAAGTGGATAAGAAAGGTACTGTTCAATAATCAGAACATTTCATTCAGAAATAGTTGACAGCAATGTTATATTATTCAGAAACTATAAATAATGAAAGAAAAAAGGTTTAAACAACCTCTGTTTAGAAAGAGGAACCATCTTAGCACTTGCCTGATGTAGATTCAAATATTCACTTAAGAATTGACTTCAATATCTTTTCTGTTTATGGAGGCATAAATGTTTAAACCAATGTATTTATGCAAAGAATGCACACCAGTGTTTATGTTTTTAACTCCATCAATGCAAAAACATGTAGTCAACTCTTATAAATATATACATCAACAATAATAACTTCACAGACTGCTACTTAAAGCATGAACACAAAAAAAATGTAAAAAAACGTAGAAAGCAGTACAAAATCAGTTGACATTGTTCAGCATAATAATTCTATTATCAGCCCTCCCATTCTATCATCAGCCCTCCCATTCTCTTTTCAGCCCTCCCATTCTCTTATCACCCCTCCCATTCTATCATCAGCCCTCCCATTCTATTATCAGCCCTCCCATGCTCTTATCAGCCCTCCCATTCTCTTATCAGCCCTCCAATGCTCTTATCAGCCCTCCCATTCTCTTATCAGCCCTCCCATTCTATTATCAGCCCCCCCATTCTATCATCAGCCCTCCCATTCTATTATCAGCCCTCCCATTCTATTATCAGCCCTCCCATGCTCTTATCAGCCCTCCCATTCTATTATCAGCCCTCCAATGCTCTTATCAGCCCTCCCATGCTCTTATCAGCCCTCCCATTCTCTTATCAGCCCTCCCATTCTCTTATCAGCCCTCCCATGCTCTTATCAGCCCTCCCATTCTATTATCAGCCCTCCAATGCTCTTATCAGCCCTCCCATGCTCTTATCAGCCCTCCCATGCTCTTATCAGCCCTCCCATGCTCTTATCAGCCCTCCCATTCTATTATCAGCCCTCCCATGCTCTTATCAGCCCTCCCATTCTATTATCAGCCCTCCAATGCTCTTATCAGCCCTCCCATGCTCTTATCAGCCCTCCCATGCTCTTATCAGCCCTCCTAAATGAGTGCTCAGTGTTCAATATAAGTGCCTGCCCATAGGCCCATGGCAGGTAGATTTCGGGCTGGTAGTTCTAAATTTGTATCGGTCCTTATGCAGTAAATTTATGTGTCAATGTATTGAACACAGTGAGCTGCAGTTGCTAAAGTCTGTGGGTCCTGATGGAAGCCTGACAATTGTTATATATCATACACTGGCTCAGATTACATCTGCAATATTTCTTCTGCAGCATATGCCAGTCTTAGTCTTAGAGCCTCTCTCTACACTTTGCTTCAGAGTCAGGCAGTGGTAGGGTTTGCACAGTGTTCATGCCATAGAATGGAGACTGACTCATTTGACTTCCGTGACTTATACCGAACCTCATTTCAGCTTGTTGACTTAAAATAGACACACTCTTACACCACAAAGCAACGTTTTATATATTGATGGGTGATGGTGGCATGTTGTATATGAACCAAAGACATATTGAGGATGACTCAGGTCAAAATACACACAAAACTGACTTCAAGAAATACTGACACCAACCATGCACAATGTGTATCAGTGATACATACATACAATAGTAAGAAAATAACATGTACATATGTTGTGGTATTCTTCATCTCATATAAAATGAACTTCCAATCATTTGTTTCATAACGCTTTCCAGGTATGTGAAATACTTTGAAATGATTATTAAAATAAGAAAATGGAATATCAAATCAAATCTTACATTTAAAGAATTTCAAGAGGGCTGGAGCAAATCAAATCAAACATGTCAAATATCTTCTTCATCCATAAATCAACATTTATCAAAAAACCGTTCAATACCTTTCAGATGTTTATCTTACATATCATGCTTAAAGAGCTAGCAACACCTGGAACGAAATATAAAGTGTTTGAGTAATGTACTTCTGGTTGGGAGGATTTAAAACTCAAATTGATGCTATTACAGGTACAACTGAGAATGTCTGCCACAACTACCTGACAACGTATAGAGGTCTGTGCCAAACACTTTTGAGTCCAAACTTGTCACTTGACACCATTTCCAGTAGATCTTGGTGTTAACAATTTCCACTTTTCTTAACAAGGCTTACTAAACCAATTACAAATCCCAGGTCTCAGAATAGTCTCTAAGGCTGCTGACTTCTGGTGGATCTACAGAGGAGAGTTCAGGGTCTGCACCCCTCCACCGTCTCCGACACCTCAGGTGTCCAGTAATTATGTGTTTCTGCCCACTGGTAGTGTGCACCCCCTCTTTTCCAAAACCCTGGATACGCCTCAATGTAGGCTTTAATTATTACAATGACTCATTTTGAAGTGAATGAAGCTGAAATAATTTTACACTGAAACTATAATGATATTTCTGTACTGTGGCCATGCAGGTCAAATTGTTTTCAGAAAATGTAAATGCACAAGAAAATATTCATTTGCACAATCCGACTGTAAACAATTAATGTTAATGCTCCAACTAAGGGAGGTAATTTCCTCTTCAACAAAGCTGAACATTCCAAATCTGATAAGTATTTGTCCTTGAGGTCTTTCAAGCATTGCATCACGAAACATCAGTATCTCCTTCATCTGAGACAATGACAGTAGGAGAACAAACCAATCATAAAATATCAGGATCAAAATATATTTAAGCATGTTTCAATTCAAAAAGTGATACAACTGTTACATTTTCCCCAAGTAACAATGACAAGCATCAAATATAATTTTTAATACCATGACAACAATCAGATATAATTTTTGCCGTAACCATGGGAACAATCTTAAGTACCTTTCTCCAGTAACATGACAATGGTGCGACATTACCAGAAAACATAACTTTTCTAAACGTATTTTCAAGTGACCATGGCAACTATCAGATGTCATTCTTCCAAAACACAAAATAACAAACAATTGTAACAATTCAGACTATGTTTGCTTATCAAGCTATACTTACTATCAGTCACACACAACACACTCTCCCTCCCACTCTCCTCTCGTTCTTCATCTATGCAACTACTTCATCACAGATCATTTTGGAATGTCCTTCTTCATCACTCATTAATATCTTCTTCAGCAGTTGATAGAGTTGTCTCCCCCATCTCCACGTCCAGTGACCATCACCAGGTGACTGCCTTGAAAAATATAATCCATATCAACAAAGTATACATGTATATTTTCTAACCTGCCATGAAGCTAAATAACATATATAACTCTTTGATAAAGGTTTGACAGGTTTGACAATAACAGATTCTGCTTCACTTAGGCATTTCTGATAGGTCAATCAAGTTTGATTGCCAAGTTGATGGTTTCCTATAGAACAGGATGAAAAGAAACAGGTCCATCTAATGTCTTCAGTGAGAAAAGTTTAATGGTTTTTTTAATGGTAAGGCTTGATATTGTTGCAACCTAACACCTTGTTTCTCAAATCTGTAATTTGATGACATTTTGCAGTTATGGCCTCAAATCTGCAGAGTTGAACTATCTGATTTCAGAACTTGGGGGATTTGACATCAGTTACTCTCACTCAACATAGTCTACTTCACAGACACATTAGCTCAGCTTGCAGGTGTATATATATATAGCAACCGGAAAGTTCACTTGCCCACATTTCGACACCATATAAGGACACCCAAAGGCCTAGCATTCTACTTGACCTCAAGCTACAGTTCAAAAGGCAAGTGCAAATTTCTATTCTTGCTTCAAGCAAGTTAGATAATATATTTATGTAAAAATTAACACTTAAGAATTTTCTTATTTTAAAAAGTACCAAATTGAACCAAAGTAAGGGGAAAAAATGTTAGATTAATAAAAAAAATAATAATTTACCTTGAACAAAATATAAATATGACAATAATAATAAATATTAACCATTTGATAATTTTCCTCCTATTCAGAGACAAAAAGTAGTGAGTGAATGAATGTTGTTTAATGCTGCAGTCAGCAATATTCTAGATATGTGGTAATATAAATAATGGAGTCTGGACTTAGGAAACCAGTGACTGAAAATAGGAGAAATTATCCATCCACACCATATCGGCTAAGTCACAGAGCCTAACACCCGTGAAGATCTGGGTTAGAATTGGTCTCCAGCAACCCATGCCTGTCATAAGAGGTGACTAACGGGAATGGGTGGTCAGGCTTGCTGACTTGGTTGAGGCATGTCGTAATATCCAAATTGGGTGGATTGATGCTTATGATATCAATCACCAGATTGTTTGGTTCAGACTCGATTATTTACAGACCTCCGTCATATAGATGGAATATTGCTGAGTGTGGTGTTAAAAAACAAACAAACAAACAAAAGCCTGATCACCTGATGTCAGTTGGCTGGTAAATCAAGCATTGTTAACTGACCAATTCTATACGTAACTATGACCAGTTCTATTAAAAAACTAACAAAACAAAACAAAACAAAACTATAGTGAGTCTCCGACCTGTTCCCAGGTCCAATTGGTCATCATCTGCACGATCATTGCTGCCAAAGTCTGGGTTCAAATCCAGTGGCGGGTCATCATCTTCATCAGCTCCCAACAGGGCATCGGAGTCCGACCTCTGTCTCAGGATGGAGTATCGACGTACTTCACGGAACTTCCTGTAGGACCACAAAAGAAATGACCGGGGTTCAGAAGCTCACCTTCAAATGTTGGGGTTTCATACTGCACGTAACAATTGAATGGAAATAAACTCTCAGGGTAAAGATTAACCTGGATTTTCAAATCCATTTGGTGCTATTGTGACAAAAGACATGCTGAAGGACAAAATGGCAACTCTCAACTCCTAGCCGAGGGTTCTGATATGTATATGTACCAACAGTTCCATATATCATGGTGACACCTTGATATCCTTCAGTCACTAGCTGGCTACTGACACTGAATGGGGAGTCAAACAGTGGTGTAGATGGGTTGCTGCTCTCTAGCCTGATAGAGTCTCCTGTGCCACATGATTAGCAACAGTTAGTAAAGCGGGAGATCACGCAAAACCAGAATATGGAGTACTGATGTCAAAGAAACACTGAGTATTTGTCATCAGCAAAAGATAATAAGAGGGCCCCTTTTATCGGGCACAAAAGATTAAGGAGAGAAGGAGTGAATGTAACACCGCATTATCATCATCATTATCATCATCATACAGACTAAAATAAATATATTCAGCAAAGAGGGTTTGGGTGATCCTGGCACAATCATGCTTGTTAGGCTCATCATCAGCTCTGGGCTCTTACCCCATCTACAGCGAATGGGAACCCACTGAGAACTTTTAAGAGAATGTGAAACAGATTGAGAGGTATCATTATTATTGTTATTATTATTTACAGATTACAATAAAAAATGAAGATAAGTGGGTTTGGGTGATCCTGGCACAATCAGGCTTGTTAGGCTCATCATCAGCTCAGGGCCCTTGCCCCCTCTACATGCAGCCCAGACAGCGAATGGGTCTCCTCCCAGGAAGCGCTGCCTCGTCGACCCGACCCAGGACTTTTCGGAGAATGTGATGACATCCCAGCACTGCAGCCTTCTGCATTACTCAGATTGTCAGAAGGGCTGTATTCCTGGTAGCAAATCCGGGTACTCTCCCAATGTCAGTCAACAGATTGGGAGGTACCAAACCTAAGGCACCGAGAACAATGGGGACTCGGACAACATGGTACTTGGGATGCAAGTGTGATATTTCCAAAGCGAGGTCTGCATATTTGCCATGTTTTCCTCAATCTTGTCAATCACATTACTGTCAAAGGGGACAGCAAATTCAATGACCTAAATGATTTCATTGGATTTATCAAAAAGGACAAGATCAGGTTTGCTGGCCTGGATACGTCTAAGGCTGTAAATGGGCCTATTCCAAAGACTTTTGTATCTATCATTTTCCATGACGCTCTCTACATATTCCGGGTCGTATCATGAGTGGACCTCAAAACCACAAGCATGGTGAAGACGGTAATAAAATGATCAAGCTACACCATCATGTCGTTTAAGATACTGTGCTGTCTGTATTATTATTATTATTATTATTATTAGAGCATGCCTTCACAAACCTTTTGTAATACACGATGACGAGGATGGTGACAAAGGCTGCTCCCAGCAACACTGGCACGGCAATGTAGACGGCCCGCATGTTGGGGCCCTTGATGTCTGGTGCTGATGGGCCGCTATCTGGTGGCAGACACCATGAATGTTTATAGTCATTTGTTGTGTTTTCAAATTGTTTGTGCATCCAATAAAAAGATAATATTTGTGGTCGGTGTCTACATGAGAAAAAGTCCAGTATGAGGACAGTTTGCATAAAGATGGTGTGAAGACACAGTCCGTGGGGATAGTGTCTGTATGAGGACACAGTCCGTGGTGATAGTGTCTGTATGAGGACACAGTCCGTGGTGATGGGGTCTGTATGAGTGAGTGAGTTGGGTTTAACGCTGCTTTTAACATTATTCCAGTTATATCACGGCGTGTCAGCCTTATGTGGGAGGAAAGCCCGAAGTGATGCAGGTCTCAGACGTTTACCACTTCGATGAAACCCACGAGCACGGGTATGGTGCTGACAAGCCTAGAAACATAATCGGGGCGAACCGGGATTCGAACCAACAATCATAGGTTTCTGGCGTGCCTAATGGACGCAACTCTGCACAGCGAATCGCGGCGCCTTAGACGACTGGGCCACCTGTGCCCCCGGGTCTGTACGAGGACACAGTCCGTGGCGATAGTGTCTGTATGAGGACACAGTCCGTGGTGATGATGTCTGTATGAGGACACAGTCCGTGGTGATAGGGTCTGTATGAGGACACAGTCCATGTTGACAGTGTCTGTATGAGGACACAGTCCGTGGTGATGGAGTCTGTATGAGGACACAGTCCGTGGTGAGAGGGTCTGTATGAGGACACAGTCCGTAGTGATAGTGTCTGTATGAGGACACAGTCCGTGGTGATAGGGTCTGTATGAGGACACAGTCCGTGGTGATAGTGTCTGTATGAGGACACAGTCCGTGGTGAGAGGGTCTGTATGAGGACACAGTCCGTAGTGATAGTGTCTGTATGAGGACACAGTCCGTGGTGATAGTGTCTGTATGAGGACACAGTCCGTGGTGATAGTGTCTGTATGAGGACACAGTCCGTGGTGATAGGGTCTGTATGAGGACACAGTCCGTGGTGATAGTGTCTGTATGAGGACACAGTCCGTGGTGAGAGGGTCTGTATGAGGACACAGTCCGTAGTGATAGTGTCTGTATGAGGACACAGTCCGTGGTGATAGTGTCTGTATGAGGACACAGTCCGTGGTGATAGTGTCTGTATGAGGACAGAGTCCGTGGTGATGGGGTGTGTATGAGGACAGTGGGTGGTGATAGTGTCTGTATGAGGACACAGTCCGTGGTGATAGTGTCTGTATGAGGACAGGGTCCGTGGTGATGGGGTGTGTATGAGGACAGTGGGTGGTGATAGGGTCTGTATGAGGTCACAGTCCGTGGTGGTGATGTCTGTATGAGGACACAGTCCGTAGTGATAGTGTCTGTATGAGGACACAGTCCGTGGTGATAGTGTCTGTATGAGGACACAGTCCGTGGTGATAGTGTCTGTATGAGGACAGGGTCCGTGGTGATGGGGTGTGTATGAGGACAGTGGGTGGTGATAGTGTCTGTATGAGGACACAGTCCGTGGTGATAGTGTCTGTATGAGGACAGAGTCCGTGGTGATGGGGTGTGTATGAGGACAGTGGGTGGTGATAGGGTCTGTATGAGGTCACAGTCCGTGGTGATGATGTCTCTATGAGGACACAGTCCGTGGTGATAGTGTCTGTATGAGGACACAGTCTGTAGTGATAGGGTGAGGACACAGTCCGTTGTGATAGTGTCTGTATGAGGACACAGTCCGTGGTGAGAGGGTCTGTATGAGGACACAGTCCGTAGTGATAGTGTCTGTATGAGGACACAGTCCGTGGTGATGGGGTCTGTATGAGGACACAGTCCGTGGTGAGAGGGTCTGTATGAGGACACAGTCCGTAGTGATAGTGTCTGTATGAGGACACAGTCCGTGGTGATAGTGTCTGTATGAGGACACAGTCCGTGGTGATAGTGTCTGTATGAGGACACAGTCCGTGGTGAGAGAGTCTGTATGAGGACACAGTCCGTGGTGAGAGGGTCTGTATGAGGACACAGTCCGTGGTGATAGGGTCTGTATGAGGACACAGTCCGTGGTGATAGTGTCTGTATGAGGACACAGTCCGTGGTGATAGTGTCTGTATGAGGACACAGTCCGTGGTGATAGTGTCTGTATGAGGACACAGTCCGTGGTGATGGGGTCTGTATGAGGACACAGTCTGTGGTGATAGTGTCTGTATGAGGACACAGTCTGTGGTGATAGTGTCTGTATGAGGACACAGTCCGTGGTGATAGTGTCTGTATGAGGACACAGTCCGTGGTGATAGTGTCTGTATGAGGACACAGTCCGTGGTGATAGTGTCTGTATGAGGACACAGTCCGTGGTGATAGTGTCTGTATGAGGACAGGGTCCGTGGTGATGGGGTCTGTATGAGGACAGGGTCAGTGGTGATAGTGTCTGTATGAGGACACAGTCCGTGGTGATAGTGTCTGTATGAGGACACAGTCCGTGGTGACAGTGTCTGTGTGAGGACAGGGTCCGTGGTGATAGTGTCTGTATGAGGACACAGTCCGTGGTGATAGGGTGTGTATGAGGACACAGTCCGTGGTGATAGGGTGAGGACACAGTCCGTGGTGATAGTGTCTGTATGAGGACACAGTCAGTGGGGATAGGGTGAGGACACAGTCCGTGGTGATAGTGTCTGTGTGAGGACACAGTCCGTGGTGATAGTGTCTGTATGAGGACACAGTCCGTGGTGATAGGGTGTGTATGAGGACACAGTCCGTGGTGATAGGGTGAGGACACAGTCCGTGGTGATAGTGTCTGTATGAGGACACAGTCAGTGGGGATAGGGTGAGGACACAGTCCGTGGTGATAGTGTCTGTATGAGGACACAGTCCGTGGTGATAGGGTGAGGACACAGTCCGTGGTGATAGTGTCTGTATGAGGACACAGTCAGTGGGGATAGGGTGAGGACACAGTCCGTGGTGATAGTGTCTGTGTGAGAACACAGTCAGTGGGGATAGGGTGAGGACACAGTCCGTGGTGATAGTGTCTGTATGAGGACACAGTCCGTGGTAATAGTGTCTGTATGAGGACAGGGTCAGTGGTGATAGTGTCTGTATGAGGACAGGGTCTGAGGTGATAGTGTCTGTGTGAGGACACAGTCCGTGGTGACAGTGTCTGTGTGAGGACACAGTCCGTGGTGATAGTGTCTGTATGAGGACACAGTCCGTGGTGATAGTGTCTGTATGAGGACACAGTCCGTGGTGAGAGAGTCTGTATGAGGACACAGTCCGTGGTGATAGTGTCTGTATGAGGACACAGTCCGTGGTGATAGGGTCTGTATGAGGACACAGTCCGTGGTGATAGTGTCTGTATGAGGACACAGTCCGTGGTGATAGTGTCTGTATGAGGACACAGTCCGTGGTGATGGGGTCTGTATGAGGACACAGTCTGTGGTGATAGTGTCTGTATGAGGACACAGTCCGTGGTGATAGTGTCTGTATGAGGACACAGTCCGTGGTGATAGTGTCTGTATGAGGACACAGTCCGTGGTGATAGTGTCTGTATGAGGACACAGTCCGTGGTGATAGTGTCTGTATGAGGACACAGTCCGTGGTGATAGTGTCTGTATGAGGACACAGTCCGTGGTGATGGGGTCTGTATGAGGACAGGGTCAGTGGTGATAGTGTCTGTATGAGGACACAGTCCGTGGTGATAGTGTCTGTATGAGGACACAGTCCGTGGTGACAGTGTCTGTGTGAGGACAGGGTCCGTGGTGATAGTGTCTGTATGAGGACACAGTCCGTGGTGATAGGGTGTGTATGAGGACACAGTCCGTGGTGATAGGGTGAGGACACAGTCCGTGGTGATAGTGTCTGTATGAGGACACAGTCAGTGGGGATAGGGTGAGGACACAGTCCGTGGTGATAGTGTCTGTGTGAGGACACAGTCCGTGGTGATAGTGTCTGTATGAGGACACAGTCCGTGGTGATAGGGTGTGTATGAGGACACAGTCCGTGGTGATAGGGTGAGGACACAGTCCGTGGTGATAGTGTCTGTATGAGGACACAGTCAGTGGGGATAGGGTGAGGACACAGTCCGTGGTGATAGTGTCTGTATGAGGACACAGTCCGTGGTGATAGGGTGAGGACACAGTCCGTGGTGATAGTGTCTGTATGAGGACACAGTCAGTGGGGATAGGGTGAGGACACAGTCTGTGGTGATAGTGTCTGTGTGAGAACACAGTCAGTGGGGATAGGGTGAGGACACAGTCCGTGGTGATAGTGTCTGTATGAGGACACAGTCCGTGGTAATAGTGTCTGTATGAGGACAGGGTCAGTGGTGATAGTGTCTGTATGAGGACAGGGTCTGAGGTGATAGTGTCTGTGTGAGGACACAGTCCGTGGTGATAGTGTCTGTGTGAGGACAGGGTCCGTGGTGATAGTGTCTGTATGAGGACAGGGTCAGTGGTGATAGTGTCTGTATGAGGACAGGGTCCGAGGTGATAGTGTCTGTGTGAGGACACAGTCCGTGGTGACAGTGTCTGTGTGAGGACACAGTCCGTGGTGATAGTGTCTGTATGAGGACAGGGTCAGTGGTGATAGTGTCTGTATGAGGACAGGGTCCGAGGTGATAGTGTCTGTGTGAGGACACAGTCCGTGGTGACAGTGTCTGTGTGAGGACAGGGTCAGTGGTGATAGTGTCTGTATGAGGACAGGGTCCGAGGTGATAGTGTCTGTGTGAGGACACAGTCCGTGGTGATAGGGTCTGTATGAGGACACAGTCCGTGGTGACAGTGTCTGTATGAGGACAGGGTCCGAGGTGATAGTGTCTGTATGAGGACAGGGTCCGAGGTGATAGTGTCTGTATGAGGACACAGTCCGTGGTGACAGTGTCTGTATGAGGACACAGTCCGTGGTGACAGTGTCTGTATGAGGACACAGTCCGTGGTGACAGTGTCTGTATGAGGACACAGTCCGTGGTGACAGTGTCTGTATGAGGACACAGTCTGTGGTGACAGTGTCTGTATGAGGACAGGGTCCGAGGTGATAGTGTCTGTATGAGGACACAGTCCGTGGTGACAGTGTCTGTATGAGGACAGGGTCCGTGGTGACAGTGTCTGTATGAGGACACAGTCCGTGGTGATAGTGTCTGTATGAGGACAGGGTCCGTGGTGAGAGGGTCTGTATGAGGACACAGTCCGTGTTGATAGTGTCTGTGTGAGGACACAGTCCGTGGTGATAGTGTCTGTATGAGGACACAGTCCGTGGTGACAGTGTCTGTATGAGGACACAGTCCGTGGTGACAGTGTCTGTGTGAGGACAGGGTCCGTGGTGACAGTGTCTGTATGAGGACACAGTCCGTGGTGACAGTGTCTGTGTGAGGACACAGTCCGTGGTGATAGTGTCTGTGTGAGGACAGGGTCCGTGGTGAGAGGGTCTGTATGAGGACACAGTCCGTGGTGACAGTGTCTGTGTGAGGACAGGGTCCGTGGTGACAGTGTCTGTATGAGGACACAGTCCGTGGTGACAGTGTCTGTGTGAGGACACAGTCCGTGGTGACAGTGTCTGTGTGAGGACAGGGTCCGTGGTGAGAGGGTCTGTATGAGGACACAGTCCGTGGTGACAGTGTCTGTGTGAGGACAGGGTCCGTGGTGACAGTGTCTGTGTGAGGAAACAGTCCATGGTGATAGTGTCTGTATCAGGACAGGGTCCATGAGGATAGGGTGAGGACATGGCCTACATGAGACCAAGTGTCAAGAACCACACACAACAGAAATCAATTTTCAAAGGACATTTACGTAACAGGGCAAGGGGCATGTAAGCCAACCATGTTGCTTTACCTACCATTGACAAGCTGGGCTCCCACCACATAGATGATCTTACTCTTTTCCTTGCCGTCCATGGGGATGAGGAGCGTCCTGCTCTTAGCAGCTGTCTGGATCCTTGACACAAACTGGAACACAACCCACAGCATCCAGTAGTACCATCTCTCTATTTTGACCAGGGCCCCATTGCACAAAGCTTCGACTATCATAAACCTATGTTAAAGTATGGAAGTTGGGATCACCTAAGTGTTAAAATTGCTTTAAGCAACGGGCTCAGGACTTGTCCTGAACCAGGGGTAGTGTGTGGCTTAATGCATTAGATCCCTGCAATACACTGACCCCTATGACTATAGCCAGTGCTTAATGCTTGAGCTCATGTTCCCTGCAGTATACTGACACCTATGACAATAGCCAGTGCTTAATGCTTGGGCTCATGTTCCCTGTAGTATACTGACACCTATGACAACAGCCAGTGCTTAATGCTTGGGCATATGTTCCCTGTAGTATACTGACACCTATGACAATAGCCAGTGCTTAATGCTTGAGCTCATGTTCCCTGCAGTATACCGACACCTTTGACAATAGCCAGTGCTTAATGCTTGGGCTCATGTTCCCTGCAGTATACTGACACCTATGACAATAGCCAGTGCTTAATGCTTGGGCTTATGTTCCCTGCAGTATACTGACACCTTTGACAATAGCCAGTGCTTAATGCTTGGGCTCATGTTCCCTGCAGTATACTGACACCTTTGACAATAGCCAGTGCTTAATGCTTGGGCTCATGTTTCCTGTAGTATACTGACACCTATGACAACAGCCAGTGCTTAATGCTTGAGCTCATGTTCCCTGCAGTATACTGACACCTATGACAATAGCCAGTGCTTAATGCTTGGGCTCATGTTCCCTGTAGTATACTGACACCTATGACAACAGCCAGTGCTTAATGCTTGGGCATATGTTCCCTGTAGTATACTGACACCTTTGACAATAGCCAGTGCTTAATGCTTGGGCTTAAGTTCCCTGCAGTATACTGACACCTACATCTTCCCGAGGCAAGGTAGTTAACTGACATTTAAAGTCAAATTTCTACCCTTGCCGAACTATGCTGGAATTCCTGGGCTCAATCGTAGTGCCACCAGTGGCTATTACAAGTTATGTCCCTTCTATGCCTCTCCTATGGACCAATCAGATTCCACCTCTGGTATCACATGCATTTGCTTCAAACAAAATGGCGGCGCCCTGATCGAAACTCAAGATCTATATTGTGATAAAACGGGTCTTACATTGTGAAGTGCATCAAATCAAGTGAGCACCTTGATTAAAAACATGAACAGATTTGGAAAATATCTGTTGACTATATAATATAAGTTGGCGGTGCACATTCTTTGCACATCCTGCAATCGACCGAAATCTGCACGACGGTTTACGAACCTGATTTCGATTTTGTTGCGTGATTGTGATTGGACTATGCATAGACTCGTTAGTCCAGCCAAAATGTAACTCCATAATACCAGCCTAGTTCGGCAAGGGGGAAACTGGACTTTTATTGTCAGTTAACTCACTTGCCTCGGGAAGATGTGACACCCATGACAATAGCCAGTGCTTTATGCTTGGGCTTATGTTTCCGGCAAAATACTGACACCTTTGACAATAGCCAGTGCAGTGTCGATATATACAGTAAGTGGTGCTTACATCAGCTGTAGACATATACAGTAAGTGGTGCTTACATCAGCTGTAGACATATACAGTAAGTGGTGCTTAAATCAGCTGTGGACATATACAGTAAGTGGTGCTTACATCAGCTGTAGACATATACAGTAAGTGGTGCTTAAATCAGCTGTGGACATAAACAGTAAGTGGTGCTTACATCAGCTGTAGACATATACAGTAAGTGGTGCTTACATCAGCTGTGGACATATACAGTAAGTGGTGCTTACATCAGCTGTAGACATATACAGTAAATGGTGCTTACATCAGCTGTGGACATAAACAGTAAGTGGTGCTTACATCAGCTGTGGACATATACAGTAAGTGGTGCTTACATCAGCTGTGGACATATACAGTAAGTGGTGCTTACATCAGCTGTGGACATAAACAGTAAGTGGTGCTTACATCAGCTGTGGACATATACAGTAAGTGGTGCTTACATCAGCTGTGGACATATACAGTAAGTGGTGCTTACATCAGCTGTGGACATAAACAGTAAGTGGTGCTTACATCAGCTGTGGACATATACAGTAAGTGGTGCTTACATCAGCTGTGGACATATACAGTAAGTGGTGCTTACATCAGCTGTGGACATATACAGTAAGTGGTGCTTACATCAGCTGTGGGCATATACAGTAAGTGGTGCTTACATCAGCTGTGGACATAAAAAGTAAGTGGTGCTTACATCAGCTGTGGACATATACAGTAAGTGGTGCTTACATCAGCTGTGGACATATACAGTAAGTGGTGCTTACATCAGCTGTGGACATATACAGTAAGTGGTGCTTACATCAGCTGTGGGCATATACAGTAAGTGGTGCTTACATCAGCTGTGGACATATACAGTAAGTGGTGCTTACATCAGCTGTGGACATATACAGTAAGTGGTGCTTACATCAGCTGTGGACATATACAGTAAGTGGTGCTTACATCAGCTGTGGACATATACAGTAAGTGGTGCTTACATCAGCTGTGGACATAAACAGTAAGTGGTGCTTACATCAGCTGTGGACATATACAGTAAGTGGTGCTTACATCAGCTGTGGACATATACAGTAAGTGGTGCTTACATCAGCTGTGGACATATACAGTAAGTGGTGCTTACATCAGCTGTGGGCATATACAGTAAGTGGTGCTTACATCAGCTGTGGACATATACAGTAAGTGGTGCTTACATCAGCTGTGGACATATACAGTAAGTGGTGCTTACATCAGCTGTGGACATATACAGTAAGTGGTGCTTACATCAGCTGTGGACATATACAGTAAGTGGTGCTTACATCAGCTGTGGACATAAACAGTAAGTGGTGCTTACATCAGCTGTGGACATATACAGTAAGTGGTGCTTACATCAGCTGTGGACATATACAGTAAGTGGTGCTTACATCAGCTGTGGACATATCCTGGGGATCCTGGGAAGGGACCAGCAGGACGTTGGCAAGCACGGGGTTGGTCTTGTGGATCTGGACCACCAGTCGGTTCGCACCTTCACCGTACGTCTGAAACAGGATGCAAGAGATGATATACAATAAGGGAAACCTTAAAGACAATTAATATCATATATATATATTATAGCTGGGGCTGCATTTGTCTTAGTTTTTCAAGCTGACATATATATTGGTTGAGAAGATTGACACTAACCATGCTATACTAACAGGAAGAAAGGACTGGTAGAACTTGTTCTTGTGTTCCGCCATGCTGCCTGGGCATCGTTCCACAAAGCGATCTTAGCACTACAACTATCGTAAGCCAGTGTTAAAGTATGGGAGTTACAATCACTTTAGCGCTAAGATAGCTTTGTGGAACGGGGCCCTGGTCTAGATGGTAAATATTCATATAAAGGGAATAAGGTATAATTCTAGTTCTCTCTAGCGTCTATGCCTGTTGTCATTTCTTTAAAGTAGTTAATATTTCTACAAAAACTATCTTCAACTGAGATTATCACACATAATGAAAGGCAGTAAACCAGGGATCAAACAACAACATGCTTCCCCCCAAAAAAGAAACAAAATATAGCAACTGTCATATTGCCTGTTTAACAGCGGTAATTTGTTGACTGTAACCTTTACTACATATTCAGTGTGGTCCACTACATCACATTAACTATCAGGGACATTCTTTAGAAGTTGTTAACACGACAGGTGATAACACACAATGTTAACACTACTTGTAACCAAATTCAGTTGCAGTAAATCAAAAATGTTTTTTTAGTAAATCTTCACTGACACAATAATAAGTGCTCAAAGTTTCAGGCAGATATGCATATATTTCGCCCATACTGAAAGAAATGTTACCAGTCCCCAGACAGTGGGCAGGCAGCTATTCTGGACACTGATAGTGGTTCCACAACGGCACTATTGTAGTGCTTCCACAACGGCACTATTGTAGTATTGCAAAAGTATCACAAAACCATTTTATCCTTTCCTGATGGTTCAAAAGCCCCCCCAGTTACCTCTACTCACCAGAGACAGGGCTACCTTCAGCAACTGCAGGAACATCAGCTTGTGGAAGATATTCTTGTCAAAATGATAACTTTCTGCATTTGGTGAGAAATTAAGACGGATGATGATACCCTTTTCTGTAAAAACAATATAGCAAGTCTTCTATGAATCTTGTTTACATGGCATCAGTAATGTGGCAGCCTAATAACGCTAGTCTAATTTGAAGATGATCAACAAATCTACAATTGTGCATTGATGGGGATAAGGTTTCAGTGTTTCAGTGCTCTCAATAAAAGTGTTTCCAGATGCCATTCATAATTAACAAAAAGGCTACAAATATATCTGATCTATCTGTTTTATCTTGGCATTCTCGGGTCGTTTTTCTCACAGTCTACAGAAAATGTTTGTAATAATTCCCCCAAAAGAATGGTCAAATTATCACATTGTGGTTAGAATATGCATCACTGATGTTTAAGCTTTCTTTACCATGGTGGCTTGTATTTCAGTGTTTTTCACTATCACAACAAAGAGGATAGATAGATAGTGGTGACAGTGCTATTTACAAATTGCATGAACCCAGAAGACAACATCAATTTTTAATCATATTCACCATTAATGTGAACATCTACTGGTGGAAATGAGCCTTCTGGCACAACCGTTTTTAGATGAGTGTACCGTACCACACAAGAGAGACAGATTGTGTGACCAAGGATTATGTGGCCCTGACACAGTGGTAAATGTGTGTTTTACTTAATTGTGTACTCTGAAATTTATTTTATCATGTTTGATAATCTGTTGTTCTGATATCACATGTATACAATTCTATTCGGTTATCGACAGCCATTGTTATATGCATCGATGCTTGACTGAGTTTTCAAGATAAATTTTAGTGTGAATTTTGAGGTATCAAATGGAATTAAATACCTGATTTTTACCTTTTTATTATTATCATATAGCTTTCTTTAGTGCCAAGGTAGAACGATAATTCAATGGCAGGTTTAGCAACATTTTAAACAAAGGTTATCAGTAATAATATTGTCTGAAGCTCTCTGTTTCTACAGGTACTCCAACAGTTGTGAGATCTACATGACGTCACTCTGGAATGCTATGAAGTTGTAATACAATTGATCATGACATGTTGGCAAAATGCAGTGAAAAATAAACTCATTCATAGTTGTTTCTGATACATATTAATCGAACACAACATGTGGATGTTACATTCAAGTCTCCATGCTGAATGTCATGTTTCCTGCATTGGGAATGAAGTCCTATGAAGCCCAGAAGTCGAAGGATTTCAGGCTTCAAACTCCATTTAGCAATGTTTTCAATCAGATGGCGGCACATACATAATCCAATATCAATGAACGTTGTACCAAAGAAATAAAGTTGAGAAAATCTATTGCCCAGGGTTTCCATTCCATGAAGCGATCTTAGCACTACAATGATCGTAAATCCCATACTTTAACACCTGTTTGCGACAGTCGTAGCACTAAGATGATCATAACTCCAATCATTTAACATAGGTTTGTGACAGTCGTAGCGCTAAGATGATTGTAGCTCCCTTACGCTAACGTAGGATTGCAACAGTGGTAGCACTAAGACAATTGTAACTCCCATACTTTAACAAAAGATCGCTTTGTGGAATGGGAGCAGAACTTATCTAGGATTCCAAACCCAGTGCAATAGCCAGTCGAATTGGGGAAAATTCTTTTGTTTAAGTTCCTATTTTCCTAAATTGAGATGCATTTAATACAATACTGTAATCTTAGCAAGCCTCTTCCTCTTAATTGGTCCTGTTATCAGTGAAATACTAGTCACCTCTACAAAGCCAGTACATTAGTATAAATACTACATGATTTGGGAAGATCTTATTTCCAATTTGGGATTTTCAGATGGCATCAGCTGCAGAGTACGGGCCAAATATCTGTCTTTGAGAAGCACTTGGAGGTCCCAGTGTGTCCGTGGAAAGTGTTGACTCACCAAACACCTGGACATTGTAGCGCTTGTACACAGTGCTCACAGAGTTGATGGCTTCCGCGGTGACGGTGTAATTGCCCGGTTTGCTGTACGAATGCTGGACACGTCGTTCCCATGACAACAGCGGCCTCACATTTCCGACCTACAGGAAACCAAAAGTCATCAAACATGTGGGTGCTCAACATTGTTATTTGTTTCTAAATTGTTGTTGTTGGTATTCATTTTATAACAGTAAGTGAGTGAGTGAGTTGGGTTTATCGCCACTTTTAACATTATTCCAGTTATATCAAGGTGTGTCTGGTTTATGTGGGAGGAAAGCCCGAAGCGATGCAGGTCTCAGATGTTTTCCACTTCAGTTAAACCCACGAGCACAAGTATGGTGCTGACAAACCTAGAAACATAATCGGGCCGAACCAGGATTTGAACCCACAATCATAGGTTTCTGGCTTTCTCAAGGGATGTAACTCTGCACAGCGAATCGCGGCGCCTTAGATGACTGGGCCACCCGTGCCCCCCATTTTATAACAACAGCCTGTAAATATCAAGTCTGGAACAGACAATCCAGTAATTGATATCATGAGCAACAATCTACTGGGTCAGGGTATGATGACACTCTATCAACCAAGTCAATGAGCCTGACCACCAGGTCCATCACAGTTCTTCTTGTGATGGTGTTGGGAACGCTGTTCTTACCTGGAATCCCCATGAGGGGTTTAAAGGGTGACTCACCTCATCCCCAAAAGTCCACAGGAAGTGGATGTGTGCCTGGTTGTTGCTCACCAGTGGTCCAAAAACATCGATGTCAAAGTTAGTCAAGTGATTGACCTTTGTTGCTGATGGGACAATGACAATTGTGCGGGTGATCTTATCTGTTGAGAGAGAACAAACAAGGGATTATTTTTTGCAGCTGTAATAAGCAATATCATGGCTTTCCACTAGTGACGGGTACTGGTCTGAACTTCGTATCACAGTTTATTGCAATACTTTTTAACATATTGTGAACGCACCACAATATATTGCATGCGTCCTTTCATCTGTAATTGTTAAGAACCTGAATAAACATAAGAGTCATCAGGAGATGACATATCCCCCGGTCATGTGCAAATCAGAAATGGTCTTTGGCTACTCATTCCACACTTCTGGTTCATTGCCATTGGATACCTTCAGTTCAGTGAAGAAAAATATATTGCAGTTCAGTATTTTTCAAAATCCCAAATCATCAAAAGGCACCAGTTCACCACTAGTCTGATCTGTATAGCAGGTCTCATCTAGAAATATTCAACGATTTTGGAGTTCTGCTCTGGAAACAAGCACTACCCTCATTTTCAGTAAAGTCCAACTTGTTGTCATGAAAACATAAAAAATAAATAAACAAGAGTCATCAGAACAGACAAATCCCCCATCTGACTGTTACTTTAAGCCCAACTTGATGAGAGAATTTCTATTTAATCTGTCTGTCCATATACAAGAGCAGTTATTGAGCTATCAAAACAAAACCATGGAAATGGGATTCAGAATTTTGTATTTCTACGTCAAAGTTAAACTTGTTGCCATGGAAATGGAAAAAATATAAATTCAAAAAATCCCTAAATAGCAAAAGTCACCAGTTGACAACATGGTCTTTGTTTGTGCACAGTTTAAAAAAAGAATACCTATTACTTTAAGAGATATCATCCGGACAAATACACCACTATGAACAGAATCAAAGTAAAACTTGTTGCCATGGAAACGGATAAAATATACATTCTAAACACACCTAAATAGCAAAAGGCACCATTTGACAACCTGGTCTTGAGTGTGCAAAGTGTCAAGAAAAAAATACCAATTAGGTTCAGAGATATGGTCTGGACAAACACATCACTATGAACAAAGTCAAACTTGTTGCTATGGAAACAGGAAAAAAAAATTACTTAAAAATTCCTTAATAGCAAAAGGCACCACTTCAGCCCTTGGTTAATACATGTGTACCAGGCTTGGATGAAAAGTCTTTCACTGTTTTCAAGTTGTGCTCTGGAAATCCACCATGCCCCTTCCCCAAAACAACTAACCTGTGGTATTGTCCTGATGTAGATGTAGTAGAAAATAGGGAAAATACCATAGGGATTGATATAGCATTAGTTATAATCCCTTGTCTTCTCCACTGGTCCAACTTGTCCCATCTGTTGTCATATAATATATAAGGGAGGATGAAGGTCTCCCTGATCTTGCCACAGCTTCCGAGGCAAGCTCAGAGTATCTGGATGTCGGCATTTTCTGCGTGATAACTTCCAGGTGGTTGGATGTAGGCTGGACAGATTGTCATGGAAAATGCTTGACTTGGGTTGTTGTAACAGATCTTTACATAGAGGTAGCTAGATAGGTTCTTCCATTAGTAGTCTTAATCGTAGTCTTGGTAATCATTGGGAACCACGCTCTGCTGGGGGTATGACGGATGACCTTGTCTAGGAGAGACCATGTTGGGAATGCATATGCAAAACGGCCCGTCCAGTCCATCGATAGTGCATCGATCTGGTGAGCTCTTGGGTCGGGAACTGGACTGACATAAACCGGAAATTGATGGTTCTGTCAGGTGGCAAATAGATCTGGGTGTGGTGTGTCCCATAACCTGGTTATCCAAGCAAAGATGTGGATCTGGTGATGTAAGGACCATTCTGTTGCCACTATTCTCCCTGGCGGGAAAGGCAGTCGGCGAGCATGTTCAGTTTCCTGGGTATATGTCTCACTTCCATCTGGCAATTGATGGAGTCTGCCAAGGCAAACAATCATGTAGTCTCTATCATCAGGGAACTGGATCTGGTTCCCCCTTGTTTCTGGATGTAAGCCACTACTGTGGTATTGTCCATGGCTATGAGGATGGACAATTGTGAGAGACATATCTTCCATGCCAGGATAGTGTAATACATGGCCTTCATTCCCTTGCAGTTGAAGGTTCTTCTCTCCGATGTTCAAAAATCCCTGTACCGTGAGATCGTCCATATGGGCTCCCAAACCCGAATCTGACATGTCTATGAATAGATGGTGTTCGGGTGTTGGAGAAGTCAGAGGAATGCCGCTCATCACATGCACTCTGTGAGTCCACCAATGCAGGTCTCATGCTAAGTTGGGAGGTAAGTGAGTCTTGCACTCTAAGGAGTAGCATCGTGGAGAGTTGATCCATGGCTGTAGAGGACGTAACTTCAACCTTTCTCTGAAGGTCATATCCTGTAGAGACATTAAGTTGCTTAGAAGAGACACCTTAGCGACCTGCTGGGTTGACTTCATAGGGATTGAATCATCGTGATAGTCTTGATGAATCGATCCTCTGGTGGACATAGATATCCCTTGTGTGGTTGGACACATGCTCAGGTGTATATGATGTCTTCAACCTGAGTGGCCTCGGACTTGGAGGGATTGACTAGGAAGTCTAGGTAGGTCATAAGCTGGATCAGAAATATCATGTTCTGGTGAAACTGAGCTTCCTCTTGATATGCAGCCAGGAAATCGTCCAGGTATCCATTGATTCATACTAGCTGGAGATGGGCAAACCTGATGACTGGCGCTGTAATCCTGGTAAATAGCCAAGGGGCTATTGATATCCGGAATGGTAATACCTGGAACTCGTAAAGTCAACCAGTGATTGCAAAGCGCAGGTATTTCCATGACGATGGTTGTATCGGGACATGAAGATAGGTATCTTGTAGGTCGAGGCTGATGGGCCAATCTCCTGTCTTTAACATCCACTGTAACTTCTGTATGGATTCCATCTGGAATTTTGGCGGAGGTACCAGGAATTTCTTGTTTAGGATCTTTAGGTCGATTATCATCCTCATGTCAGTCGTATTCTTCTTCGGGACTAGGAATACTGGCGAATAAAAGCCTTTGGTCTTGTTGGTCTCCGCTAGTTTCTGAATGGCTTGCTTCTTTAGTAGCCTCTTGATGGCCAGATCTGCTGCCGCTAGCTTGGCTCTGACTAGATGAAATCTGTGTCCAACGGCTTGGGTCTTCAAGATAGGATGTTTCTTGAAATGCAGTTTGTATCCGTGAGCCATGACATCTAGAATACAGTGATCGGGCGTAATCTGCTTCAAATTTTTGGTGTATGACAGAAGGCGCTCTCCCACTGGTCCTAAAGTCTGCAATTGGTGCAAATCGCAGTCCACAGACATAACCAGGTCTGAAGGGTCTATAATGTCGGAGTGGGTGGTAAGGAAGTCAGAATCTGCGTTAACCTCTGCCCCCAGATCCGCCCTGGCGATGGGATCCACGTTTCTTGTCGTCAGAGAGATGAAAAGATTCTTGAGAAGATTTGGGCTTGTCGTACCCCTGACTCGGTTCGAATGAATTGAATATCTGGATACCGAAGACAGATCCTTCATCCATGAAGCAGGTAACGTAACATTAGTACTAGGGTTGAGTACAAGCTTCGTAAAATCTTTGATGAGTTCCACAAAGGTATGTCCCTCCATATAATCCCATTGGGGTGAAACGTCAGCCTGATTAATGTCTTCATAACACTCTGCCTCCGAGTGACCATGGGTAGCTCATGTGGGGGGAGGATATTCATAATAGTCCGCCACGTATTCCCCGTGTGGTTCGTCTTCCTCTGGTGTCCAGGATTCCATTAGGAATCTGTGCGTCTTGTGATGGCTGCCCGTGTGTAACAGAGCTCGTACATGGCAGACCGGTCGGTTGGACGGCCCCATGTGGTCCGTGCGGCTGGCTTGGGTACCGTCGGTTGATGGAGATCATACAGTAGGCCGATTGGCTGGATGGTCGTCAGGTTCACAGTGGAGTCCATGCTGTAACCGTACGGTGTCCTATTCGTTGGCTGGGCTGCCGGCCGGCCGGCGGTGTTGCCATGGAGTCCGTGCAGCGACCGTATGGTGTCTTAGCTAGAGGCTATGGCCTTGTGGTACCCTGCTGGGACCAAAACGAGGTCTAGCTGCCCGTGTATCACGATAGGGAAAAGCTTGCAAGTTTATACCTGGCTGGTCAGACAGCTGGTCATATTACTGGACGGTTGGCTGGTCAGTACGATGGGCTGGGGTAGGCCCTATGGCCGTGTGTGTTGCAAAGACAGATGGCTGTCCCCCATGCGGTCTCTTGACAATAGTCTTCATCATCTTCGTTTAAGGCTGAGAACCGAGTCTCAAACATGGCCTTCATCATCTCTCACACTGCTCACATCTTGTTTCCGCAGTTCATATTGTCTCTCTACACATCACACAGTTAACATGAGGAACTCCCGTGATCATGAACCAACCACACTTCTTGCAACCGGGAGTAGAAGGAGACTCCATTACGACATCACAACAACACATCACACCAGCTTATACTAACGTGTGTGTGATCGTCACTCCATATTTACTTACTGCGTCTGTTTTATAGAAAACTGTTAGAATAATCATAGATTAATGTAACTAATACTAAGTGCTATATCGTTACAGCTATAACAATAGGTGTGGACTCGAGCACACACAGGAAAAAAGTGAGGTTCCGGCCATAGCTTGGGTGGTTACGATGCTATTGGGACAGAAGGAAGGTGGACAGACGAAAAAAGATTTGGGAGAGGACAAGCGTAATAACATAATTTTTGGCTCAAAATCATAACTAAGTACATGTACTATTACGTCAAAATCCTAATGGCTGGCATCACTGCTTAACCATACTGTCATCATGAGGTGAAAATTGCAAGCTCCCAGTAACATATTGAGGGTGCTAGTTTTATCAAGATGTGCTTACTTACCTTCAACTCTGAACTCCAGTGACTTGGTGACACTGCCCTTGGCATTGGTGGCCGTGACAGTGACATTTTTAAGTCCATGTTTAGTGAAGCTGTGTTTCACAGAGCTGTTCTTGAGACTTGTCTTGGTGACAGGTGGGGAGCCATCTCCAAATGACCACAAGTACTTCGTTGACACTTTAGAACCCTGGGAGAGTGACAAACCACCATGATCAGTTTTCTCACCAAATTTAGTCTGTGCATTTTACTGATACATAAACAGTTGTGTTGGGGAAAGTTGAACATTGTGAACCTAGGACTTGGATTTAGTTTGGTTGAAATCAATCTCACTTTTGACTTGGTCGTATGACCTTTGCTTTTGGTAACATTGACTGTTTGGCTAGTTGTCAGACTTGATGTTACCACAGAACTGTTTACCATTGCATAATATCTATGACCAGGTGAGCTGATAAATGTTCAAGATACAAAGGTCAAAAGATCATCACATATATATCAATGCACATACTTGTAAGGTCAGTTGTAGAACTCAAGTCTGTGGCATATTTTGTATCTATGGTAGATCTTACGTTCACATGTCTACAGTTGTAGGGAACAGTGTCAGTCATATTTAGTATACATATCTCAGTTCCTAGCCTTGAACAAAACTAACCATACGGACCGAGAGTAAGGGGGAACAGAGCCAAAGAATAAATCTGGCGTCATCCCTTGATTGAATCAACATGATGTTTGACAAGAATGATGTCGTCTGCATCCTGTATCACAAGCACATGATCCTCATCTCATCAGGATCATGAAGACACGATGAGGAAAATGTCACTTCTGACCAATCATACCATCAGGATCATGAAGACGCGATGAGGAAAATGTCACTTCTGACCAATCATACCATCAGGATCATGAAGACGCAATGAGGAAAATGTCACTTCTGACCAATCATACCATCAGGATCATGAAGACGCAATGAGGAAAATGTCACTTCTGACCAATCATACCATCAGGATCATGAAGACGCAATGAGGAAAATGTCACTTTTGACCAATCATACCATCAGGATCATGAAGACGCGATGAGGAAAATGTCACTTCTGACCTATCATACTATCAGGATCATGAAGACGAGATGCATCTTCCCGAGGCAAGTGAGTTAACTGACTATAAAAGTCTAGTTTCCACCCTTGCCGAACTAGGCTGGTATTATGGAGTTACATTTTGGCTGGGCTAACGAGTCTATGCATAGTCCAATCAAAATCGCGCACAGAAATCGAAATCGAAATGTCGTGCAGATTTCGGTCGATTGCAGGATTTGCAAAGCATGTGCACCGCCAAATCGTTGTCAACAGATATTTTCCAAGTCTTTTCATGTTTTTAATCGAGGTGCTCACGTGATTTGATGCACTTCGCTATGTAAGACCCGTTTTATCACAATATAGATCTTGATTATCAATCAGATCGTTTTGACTGGTCGCCTCCATTTTGTTTGAAACAAATGCAAGTGATACGAGAGGTAAAATCTGATTGGTCCATAGGAGAGGCTTAGAAGGAACATAACTCATAATAACCACTGGTGGCACTACGGTCGAGCACAGGAATTCCAGCCTAGTTCGGCAAGGGTGGAAACTGGACTTTTATAGTCAGTTAACTCTGGGAAGATGGACGCGATGAGGAAAATACCATTAGATGCAGATTAGAATCTTGTTTGTTGTTAAATGTTTAACTCAGCAATATACCAGCTAAAACCCTGGTGATCTGTCAATAATCGTATCTGGACCACTCAAAACAGTGATTGATATTATGCGCAATGCCCAACAATGACATTCCGTCCACCACCTGGAGCCTGACCACCCTATCAATTTAGTCGTTGACCAACCAAGGATGACAATAAGGGCAAATATTCAATTAGAACCAATAAGAGGCAAGATTAGGGGAGACAACTTTGCATGGTGAAACTGCACCAGAGGCTTGTCTGTCTGTCTGTCTGTCTGTTTGTTTGTTTGTCTGTTTAACGCGTCAAGCAGCAATATCCCAGCTATATGACAACAACCGGTAAATAATCGAGTCTGGACAAGACAATCCTGTGATCGAAAAATTAAGAGCAATGATCCCCACTTTCGTGAATGATGACACACTATCAACTAAGTCACGGAGTCTGAGCAACAGATCTATTTGGTCCCCTCTTAAGACCAGCGTAGGTTGCTTGGGACTTATTCTAACCCGGTATCCCCACTGGGTCTGTACTTTGAAAATTGTATATTCAATCTTTTGTAATATTTGGCAAATTGGCACAAAAATTAAATGAAGTTGTTCTGTGTATTTAGGCATAAGGAAATCAACACAACAATGTAGTCATTCTGGTTTGAATCTCATTCAATGTGTTTCAAGATGGATTTGAGCACTAAACACAACATATCTGATGCTTGAAAACAGGATTATGCATTGTCATTGTATGTCAGTATATGCAATTAACAAAGTAAATCCAATCTGATGTTGTCTCTATCCTTTAAGAATTGACCATCTCTTGTGTAGGTTCACTGGAGTATAGACCTACATTCAGTGAGGGACCAACTGTATGAAGGTCGGAGCTTGACTTGATCACTCGATGCCACCACTCACCTTCCCTTGTATCAGCGAGAAAACAACATCGGAATTTGTGGCTGCAATTGGCTGATCGGTCTGAATCTTCAGATCCCCTGGTTTGACAGTCGGACATGTCATTAACGATGGCTTGTACTTGTCGTCATCAGCTTTGCCACCTGTACAAGCATCGGCAGCAATTTTGCGGTATCTGTGCCAATGAAAAGACAATGGGTAAAGTTTGATCACACAGTTCACAGCTGAATGAGTGAGTGAGTGAGGTGTAACACTGGCTCTTGCAATAGTCAGGGTTTTTAGTGGTCATAAAATATTGTGCCCTTATAACATAAAACTGCAAAAATGGCAAATGGACACAAATAACACAATCCCATTAAAATCTGATCTTAGTTCTTGCTACCGCTAAACAAAGAATCCATTACAGGTCACGCCAGGACATCTTTTAGCGAACTTTGACTGACGAGCTTTCTCGAGCTTTACAGCACAAGTTTCAAACTGGCGTCTTCCATTCCAGACTAAACTTTGAAAAATAGATTCAAAATACGAAATCTAAACAAAAGAAAATTCTTGAATGTCTAATAGATGGCCGAGATTGTAAGTCAATGCTTCCTACAGAGTTGCCTAAAGTCACCATTAATTTTGAATGAGATGGAGCTTTACCCATTACATTTTAACAATCATTCTAAAACAGGAAGCCTTTTATCCACAATAAATGCTCTTAAAATATTGAAACACAATTTGTTAGATATGTTTTGAAACAGAAGATCTGCTACTGCACATTGCAACGTCCACCTGTTCCACACAGTTTAGGTGAGATGGGTGATGGTTCATTGTGTTCCGAGCTGTCAATGCTCTGCTTAAAACAATATACAACCCCGTCCACAGATTGTAAGTACCAGTCACACTTTAGCGGCCATTGTGTCCAACCAAGCAACATATTTATACAAGAAACAGTGGTGTGAGGGCCAGCACGGCATGTAGAATGATTGTTGATATATCGTCTGCTAAGCTAGTCCCACTGCGCATGACGGAAGTGGGGCTGCTGGGAAAATCTCGTGTTGTGAGAATGTGAGTGAGCATGTGCCGGCCGGCGTGACAGGTTGTTTTTGTGTGAATGGTGTAAAGCTAAGGAAGAATAAAAGAAGTGTCTACAGCGGTTGGTTTTGGTTACTGGACTGGCATTAACAATGGTAGCAGAGCGTGGTTGCTGAAAGGATTGATAATTCCCAGACGTAAATATTACTTCTTCTCACTTCATGATAGAACGGAAAATTTATCACCGTTCGCAATTTGTTTACAAGTGTCAGATTTTATCTTAAATTCCAGACCTCTAGTTTATCACAACTGTGAATGAGAGAAACATTTGTGAGTGTATTTCAACAAACAAGTAATTTTTGTGATTGATGCGGCGAGATAAAAGCGTGTTTGGGAGATCGAAAACTGGACAATTTTGGAGTGTTGACATTTTGTTTACGAGTGCTTTCGGCGTTGAATAGAAGATAGAATGGCAGCGAAACTGAATCCCCCCGAATTCTGCAAAGGGAAAAGTTATGAGAGATACAGACAGGAGCTACTTGCTTGGCGTGAAATTACTGAAGTTAAGAAAATGAAACAAGGAATAGTATCATGGTAGATCAACAAGAGTATTTGGACGAGTTGGAGATAGGAAACATTTCATTACAAAGGAAGACACAGAAACATGAACCTCTGAGTCCTCATGAACATACCAGGCTCAGAAGTCTTGTTGGAAAGCTCAACTGGCTTGTACAAGGTTCTAGGCCTGACCTTGCGTTCGAAATGATTGAACTCAGCACAAAGTTTAAGAGTGGAATTGTGGATGATCTATTGAGGGCTGTAAAAGTGATTCGGAAATTGAAAGACTCTGAAGCAAAGATTTACTTTCCATACATTGGAAATTTTCTGAGTTGGAAACTTGTGGTTTTCACAGATGCATCACATGCCAATTTATGTGATGGTGTGAGTAGTGTTGGAGCACATGTGATTTTCCTTGTTGGGGAGAATAATTGCTGCTGTCCTTTGGCATGGTATGCTGGCAAGATAAAAAGAGTAGTGAGATCTACAATAGCTGCAGAGACACTGAGTTTGCAGGAAGGACTTGAAGATGCGTTCTATTTAAGAAAACTCATTGAAGAAATGACAGGCATGTTTAACATTCATGCGTTTGTTGATAACAGAAGTGTGGTGGAGGCTGTACATTCAACCAGTCTTGTTGATGACAAGCGTTTGAGACTGGATATTGCTGCAATTCAGCAGTCTCTACAAAACAAGGAAGTGACCTCTGTCAAGTGGATTCCTGGTCATCAACACCTTGCTAACGCAATGACAAAAAGAGGAGCGTCTGGGGTTCATCTTTTGAGTGTGTTGCAAACTGGACATCTTAAAATTGATGGATGGTGACTTTGTGATGGTTTAAAAGATGCATGTGAGTGATAGTATGGGGCAGAATAATCCCCAAAGCAGGAGGGAAGTCTATCCCTGAGATTGCCTTTCACATGCCTGTGTACATTGTATTCTTTTATATAAGTTAAAAAGTCCTAAAATATTTTTGAAAACATTAATTTCTTTACAGATTTTTATGAACAATGTTTGACACTGACTTCTCTGCTGGCAAGTAATGAAGAAGAAAAAAAATAGAAAAAGAAAATGTATTGAATGTTGATATATCGTCTGCTAAGCTAGTCCCACTGCGCATGACGGAAGTGGGGCTGCTGGGAAAATCTCGTGTTGTGAGAATGTGAGTGAGCATGTGCCGGCCGGCGTGACAGGTTGTTTTTGTGTGAATGGTGTAAAGCTAAGGAAGAATAAAAGAAGCAAGTGTCTACAGCGGTTGGTTTTGGTTATTGGACTGGCATTAACAATGATTACCCGTTACTGGAGTTGAACTTCTTCCCTTCCTGGCACTCGTTGATGATGCTGTCCTTGTTAAACCATCCCGCCTTAGTGCAATTGGCCTTGCTGGCGATGTACCCATAGTCACTGAAGAACAAACAGCACATGCTTACTCCCTACTCACTTCAAACTTCTCATCATATACTACCAGTGTTTAAAATACCCTGCCTGCCCGAAAGTCAATTCTGCTGATGGACGGTCAATTTTGAAAAGTTGAATTCCCAATAGTCGGGCTATTATTGTATTCCCTAAATTATCCCAGCATTCTAGTTTTACTTCAATGTAAGAGGTAAATAAACTGTAAACGTTCAACACATAACTGATGAATAAAATTTCAATGAGTTAAAGTTACTAAGTTGACACTGCACCAGTTTATTGTTATTTTCTGAAAACTAACATTAAAAAGTAATATTCTTATGGTTACTCTGTTCTTACTGTTGTTCATTAGTCTAGAAAATTCCATCTTCCTGAGGCCAGCTTATGTATAGCACAATAAAAAAGGTGTAGCGAAATCGACATCCAGTTCGTAAACAGCATGGATTTCAACTTTGCAGTGATTTGATGCACTTTTTAAGGTGAGACCCGTTTTATTACAATACATATCTTGCTCATCTATCGGATCATCTTGACTGGGCGCCACCATTTTGTTTGAAGCAAATGCAAGTGACATGAGAGGTGGAATCTGATTGGTCAACAGGAGGGACATAAAAATGGACAACTCATAATAGCCACTGGTGATGCTATGATAGAGCCCAGAAATTCCAGCCTAGTTCGGAAAGGGTGGAAAGTGTGCTTTGAGAGTATATTAACTCCTTTGCCTCGGGAAGATGAGAAAATTCTGGACTGGCAACATTTCATCTGGTCTGGTAACTTTGCAAAGTTGCCAGTCTGGGTGTCTGACTGAAATTTTAGGGAATTTTATACACTGATGCTACTCAACATTTGCTAAGGACCAAACCTTTGACAAAGGAGGGCTATTTTGGTCCTTAGCAAATGTTGAGTAGGATAGTATCATCATAGTATTACATGATGTCAAATTTAACTTGACTCTTAACAAACAAAAATATAAAAACTATGGTGTTCAAAATAATCCTATCAATGACCACAATGACCGCAATCAAGTGAAATCCTGAGAAAATGTCCGGAAATAAGAAAGGAAATAAAGTAAACAGGATACTGACGCTTCGTTCAATAAAAGAACCAAAATAAATAAAACAAAAGAATTAGAAAGTAAGATAAATGATTTAGAAGATAACATATGGCGAAATTTTCAACAAATGGATGAAAAACATCTATGAGAATTATCAAAATACACATCAGCAATGGAACAAATAGGAAAGAAGATGAAACAAGAGAAATACAAACTAGAAATAGAATGCAGTGGTATGGGGAAGGAGAAAAGCCAACAAGTTATTTCTGCCACTTGGAAAATAGAAATTACAGTAAACTATGTTTACAACGAACACACTTATAACGAACTGACAGACATAACAAAGTGGTCTTTTGGCCCTGGCCATTTGCTGTATATATGTGTGTATATAGGCCTATAATGAACTACAATTAGTGGTCCCTTTGAGTTCGTTATAACCGTAGTTTACTGTATGTCAGTGAAATAATAAATAAAGTTATAAGTGAAGATGATATGGTTATAACAGATTTCATTGTGTATTGGATAAGTTAAAAAACTTTGATAAACAATTTTATACATCTGATGGCAGGTACGACAAATTAAGTAAAACTACCAAATTTAGAGATTCCAAAATTAGAGAACCAAATGATAATTTATTAGAAAGAGAAATTGAGCTTGATTAAATTTCATTTGCAGTTTAAGACATGAAAAATAATACAAGCTCTGGTATTGATGGCTTTCCTATTGAATTTTTTATTTTTTTTGGTAAGAACTAAAATTCTGGACATACAAATTTGTAAAAACATACTTCTGTTAATAACAAAATAAGTATGACAATGAAAAGAGGCGTTGTATACTTGTATACCAAACTACCCTTACTACTACTAAAATCTGACAAAAGGTACAACATAAGACTATAGATATTTAACTTTCAATATACCAGACTCATGTAAAGCAACAATCAAGAAAGGTAAAATAAAAAAATAAATAAAAATAAATAAATAAAAAAAATATAAAAATGACCACTCTATATCAATACAGATTTCACAAGCAGCACTATGTGATACAGTGGACTTATGGCTCTTATTTGTGGCAAATTCTCACTACTGCTACAGATCATTGCTTTATGGTTGAGAACTGGCGATGCCACATTCGATGCTAACTTAACACCACACTCAGCAATATTCCGCTATATGAATAATATACTAAATAATCAAGTCTGGACCAGACAAATCGTTACCACTGGTTGATATTGTGAGCAACATCCCATGCTGTCCGGTATGATGAAAAACAATTCAACCACGTCGCTCACCCAGCCTGCCCACATGATCTAAATCTGTTCAGTTTACATAGGCTAGTCTTTCTCAAATATCACTTCCTAAATGAATGCTTGTCATAAGGAGATCAGACAAGCTGACTTGGCTGAAGCATGTCATTGCATCCCAATTGCATAGATTGATGCTCATGATGTCAATCACTGGATCATCTGGTTTAGACTTGATTATTTACAGACCACTGACACATAACTCCAATATAGCTGCATGAATCGTTAAACAAGAAACAACACAAACAAAGCTAAAAAATAAAGACGACACCACAATAAACAGCATACAGTTGATATATACACTATACATGCCAACAAGGTTTTATATTCAAGCTGCACTGTGAATGCTCGCATAGTCTAATCTTATCATGAAAGACAAACACTTCTACTTAACACAATGAATAATGCTAGGAGAGTAACAGCAGACATGCCTATTTTAGTGAAAATATTGCATATTTTCGTTTAACAGATCATACTACTTTGAGTAACAAATCTTGAAGTCTTTTCGATCCTCAACATTTGACCTGACCTCATTTAAATGTGTCTTACCGATACTTGGCATTTGCTATTATTCATTTTCACAGAAGAGAAAGATCCTGTCGTGTACCCACCATTCGAAGTCTTCCTTTTCACACTGACAAGTTTTAGTGCTTGTAGGTCTTCTGTAATCATCCCCATTGTAACACAGTGAATCTTGCTTCCTTCGCTCATAGACAATTTTCCGTCCCAAGATGCAATGTTGTTTTTCCATCTGTCAAACAAAGGTATTTTTGGTAAAAAGTTTTTACAAACCTGTAGAGGTTATGAATTCTCTGATGAAATCCTCCTTGGGGCACTTATTGCATTTTCCTTGCTCAAGAAAATCTACATGACAATAAAAAATGTTACCACACAAAAAACTTCGTTTTTGTATGATATACGACCACCCTTACGGGGCCTCACCCCCCACGGCGCCTCACGCCAGGGGGAGCAACTCTCACCCAAATCACTTTCCATATGTCAAATGCTGACGGAATGTGGGGAGGTGGGTGGCTGTGCCCCAAGGAGGATTTCATCAGAGAATTCATAACCTCTACAGGTTTGTAAAATTCTCTTTCAGATTAAATCCTCCTTGGGGCACTTATTGAATCAAGACAGACTCCCAAAGATAATCTAGGAAGTGGCATCCCTTAGCAACAGGCGTAAATAAATACATCGTATTTGATTATTCAACAGAATAAAATATAGAGTTCAATAAATGGAACCAACCTTATCGTGAGGCACCACTGTCGAAAGGCGGGGGCTAGTGACAGGGCGTGGTCAACCATATATTATGATCAAGCCTGTTTTTGCGGCTTGTCATAAGTTGAGAACTTGAAACACCCCCCACCCCCCAACACTTTTTTGAACAAGTGATATAGGGGCGTAGATCACGAGAGACTATAACCCGCGCTGAGCTAGGCCAGAGGGTCCCCGAGGATCGAAGGAGTGTGTGTGCAAAATACAAGTATTATCGAGTAGTAAGGACTGATATTTATCAACCGCAGAAGATAAAATCCGGACCATTACTGAGCAGTATAACCGGAGGACTGTCTAAAATCTCGAATGCTCAATCGGCTAGAGATTAGAACATTGCCCAGTTCGGAGAACTGACTGACCAAACTGAGCATGCTCGCTTGAGTGTTTGTCGAGTTGGTAATGTTTGATGAACGTGCTCCGGCTGGCTCCAAATAGCCGCGGAGCAGATCTCCTCAATAGGCAGAGCTGCAGCATACGCTTGTGACGTAGCCACTGCTCTAACCGAATGAGCCTTCAACCTGGTAGGGGGGGTCCCTACCTGTAAGCGTATACGCTGTACGAATGGTTGAAACTATCCACCTCGAGATTGATTGTTTGCTCGCAGGTGAGCCAGCCTTCCTACCGCCGTAACAGCAAATTAGTTGGTTATCCTTACGGATACCCATAGTTCTGCTGATATAGGCCTTGAGGGTCCTGCGGACATCCAAGACATGAGCATGTCTTGCAGTGGTCCCCGACGAGGAAGGCTGTGAAAGAGCAGGTAGCTCAATAGGAGCCGTTCACGTGGAAGGCGTGTGCGACCTTAGGGGGGTAAGAGTCCGGTAGTCGAAAACTGACTCTGTCCCGGTTGAAGACAGTTATTTTGGGATCGGCTGACATAACACGAATGTCGCCTACCCGTCTGCCGGACGTTACCGCCACAAGGAACGCCGTCTTCCAGCTCAACAGCTGAAGAGAGAGAGACGACAGATCCCGAAAGGAAGGACCGGACAGCCAATCAAGAACGATTGACAAGTCCCAAGTCCGGCGGTCGGATCCTGTCCACACCTGCTAAAAAGCGCTGCACTAATGGGTGTCGCATAGCAGGTCTATCTATCCTCGTACTGAACGTTTGTCGAATCCCTCCGCGAAGCCAGTATTGTGTCTGCAACTAGTGCAGGCATACCGCTCTTGTGGAGGCGATTCCTGACAGTGGCCAAGCCACCCACTGAATCCTGGGATTCGGGTGGAGGGCCCCGTTCTGGGATAGGAGGTCCGGTCGTAAAGGTAATATAACAGGAGGCTGAGCCAGAAACCTGAGTATTACTGGAAACCAACTCTGCGCTGACTAAAGAGGTGCCAGGAGCGCAAGTAGTCGCGCAGGCTGAGTGCCTAGCTGAGACAGGACCTTGGAAATCAGAGGTACTGGGGGGAATGCCCACAGAACTCTGTCCGTCCAATCTAGCTGGAAGGCGTCCAGTGCCACCGACCTCGGGTCGGGGACTCGGGAGCAGAACGTTGGTGTCTGGTGATTCACTCCAGACGCAAACAGATCCACCTGTAACGACCTGTATATCAGGGAGAAAATCCCGAATATCCCCGGGTCGAGCCTCCACTCGTGAGGAGCGTGGATCCGGCAAGACAGAGCGTCCGCACGGACGTTGTCCACCCCCGGGAGATAAACTGGTAGCACCCTGATATCGTGAGAGTCGCACCATAGTAGGAACTGCCACGTCTCTTGGGGAAGCGATGGAGACGCCGTTCCCCCCTGCTTCCGGATGTAAGTCATCGCCGTTTGGTTGTCCATCTCTAGACAAACCACTTGGCCAAGAAGCAAATCCGGGAAGCGTTGGAACACCAACCTGACCGCTCTCAGTTCTAGCACATTGCTCTTAGCTCTCAGTTCATGCAGTTTGATCTCCTGCTGGGAGTCCCATATTCCCGAGGCAGTGTGATCATTCAGAACGCCTCCCTAGCCGGAGAGTGACGCGTCTGTTTGAACTGTGAGAGACGGAACGGGAGTGTCGAGGGGGAGCCCCCGGGACAGATTCCCGACCTCGGTCCACCACTGAAGGTGTGTAATGAGCCACTACGGAGTCTCAAGCACAGTCTCGAGATCTTCCCAGTTCGCCCAAAGTCGACGGATTGCTTGTTGAATGGGACTCATTCTCAAGCGCGCCCGCCAGACCACATCCACTGTCGCCGCCATGTTGCCCAGTAACTTGATATCTTGTGACAGAGATACATGTCCTCTCACCATATTGAAATTCGCCCCTAGGAAGACTAGATTCTGAGTAGGGCTCAGATTTGACTTCTTGAGATTGACTTTCCACCCTAGAGTGATCAGAATGTCTGTCACATCTTGTGTAGCTATCTGACTCAGGGATTGCGATAGAGTTCTTAGTAACCAGTCGACGAGGTACGGATGGCAGAACCGACCTTTCGAACTGGCCACTTGAGCAGGAATCAACATCAGCTTGGTGAACACCCTCGGGGCCGTGGAGATCCCGAACCCTGAACTGATAACACCTCCCGTCGAAAGAAAACCACAGGTATTTCTTGAACTCGGGGTGTATGGGTACGTATAGATAGGCGTATTTTAGGTCTATTGACGTTAGCCATTCTCCTGTCTCTACAGCTGAGATCACTGTTTGGTGACTAGGGAATAAGTCGAGTAGAAGCCCTCGCTTTCCTGTCCCTCGGGACCCGGTTCGATCGCAGCTTTCATAAGAAGTGCGTCGACCTCGGCACGGAGGAATTCCGCCTTCTCTCGGGTAGCAGGCACCGGAGTGGGCTTTATCCCGGAGAAGGGGGGCGGATGATGTTTCCACCGAGGCAAGTGGCCATCCCTTATAGTGGACAGGGTCCCGGGATTGGGATGTAACTGTCTCCCATTCCTTCAGGAATAGAGCCAGTCGGCCGCCTACGGGGACATCCGGCTTGAGGCAGTGAGCCCCGGCTGTTGGCAGTTCGATAACTTGCGACTGTGGGTCCACCCGGGGCTCTTCAGGCGCTAATGGTAACCCGATGGGTTCCCGGCCCCGCGAAAAAGCTGCTGGCCTCGACCAGCTGCCTTGCCCAGGCCCCTGCCTCTCTTGCTCCTCCTGGCATCCTTACCTGAAGGAAGCGTCTGCTTCCAAGCAGGTGTGGACTTCTGACCTGGTGCGTCAGCGTAGGAGGGGTCAAGTGGAGAGGCCCGCTTACGCGGTTTTAACACTTGGTACCTCCAACAAGGCCTTAGAGTCTTTGATGGAAGTATACAATTGAGCGGCCTCTCGGACCACCTGCTGAGCCCCAGGGAAGAGGGTGGCACTCATCTTATACGGCAAAGCAAGTAGGTCTTGGCGTGTGGAAGTCGAGTTTAGATACCGACATCTACAGCCTGCACATAACAGCGCACATCATCTGCAAGGCACAGCTACGAAATAGCGTCCCGCGCAAGATGACTGAACTTCCGTTAGTTGCGCGGCCAACTCCGAAGAGTTGGCCGGCCCCTCTCCCGTTAACTCCCTCTGTACAGCCCACAGATACGCAGAGTGTACGGACACACGGAGCTGTTGGCATGCATTATGATATTGCTCCTCGAAGCATATGTAAGCAGCCTTCAACTCCGCACCCCACGCGGGAAAGGGGGGCAACCGCCAGCCCTGCTTGACCGTAGTCAAGTTGGGGGTCTCTGACTCTGGCATGGGCGCAGCCACCTGAGGTAGTACCTGGACAATCCTGTCCCGCATGTGCCTCTGCACCCGGCCCGAAGCCGAGTCCCGGTGCCGAGGTGCCGGGGGTTCAAGGGAACCCACCTGGCTCCGGGCTAGGTATCCACTTGTGGGTCGGTAGTGCACGGGCCGGCGCCCGCCATCCCTCTGCTAGGGAGCGACCTCGAGCCGGAGCCGAAGCTCGGTATCGGATCGTCCCCGAGACCAAGGGAACCCACCTGGCTCTGGGCTAGGTATTCACTAGTGGAAGCCTTGGCCTTGGAAGAGGCGTCTGGCTCCGCAAGGGAAAATTGTGCGTCAGTAGTGCACGGGCCGGCGCCCGCCATCCCTCCGCTGGGGAGCGACCTCGAGCTGGAGCCGAAGCCCGGTCTCGGATTGTCCCTGAGACCAAGTGGTCTGCCTCGGCCGAGGTCTTAGCAGATCTGATATCTACCCCCGCCTTTAATAGACCTCTTTAAAGTGGAGCAAGTCAACTTGTCTCTTTTTTGGGGCCCGGGGGGTAAAGGCAATGTCCTCCGCCAGACATTTTAGGCAGCGTTTGTGCAGTTCCACAGTTTGAAAGTCTTTGTAAAAAAAAACGTAATTTCTGAGGTGGGCGGGTATTAAAGTGTATCAGTGCGATATAAAGATCGGAAAGGTACGTGCATAAATTGTGAAACTAGAAGCAAAGGCGTAATGTAGAATGCGATTTGTTACACGATACTAATAGCCAATGTCGTAGTATAATTGTAACACCAAAGGGGCGTGTTACGCGCTAAGGTGTAAAACCCGTAAAAAAGGTAAGTGTAGTTTATAAATTAACACACCACCTTGGGTTTTTGTAAAGGAAAAAATTGTAGACCAATGCTGTATGATATAACAAAACCCCAAGCCGTTTCTAATGGCCTTGGTGTTACATTTATCAGCCCGTGGAACTACAATATGGACGCCATTACGGCCTTTTGAATTCAAAGGTACCGTGCACATGGCGTATAATTACAACTCTATAACTTTACAATGCGAGGTATTATGCCTTTGCAATGAAAGAAATGTACCATACATACAGTTTGGTCAGCCATGGTTCTCGTCGAACGATAGATTCTCTTATTTTGTCTTGTGTGAAAAATCAGCACGTCTGTCTCTTACAGATGACATAAGGAAAGTGATTTGGGTGAGAGTTGCTCCCCCTGGCGTGAGTCGCCGTGGGGGGTGAGGCCCCGTAATGGTGGTCGTATATCATACAAAAACGAAGTTTTTTGTGTGGTAACATTTTTTATTCAGGAAAATGGTCACAACTATGTCATGTAGATTTTCTTGAGCAAGGAAAATGCAATAAGTGCCCCAAGGAGGATTTAATCTGAAAGAGAATGAGTGATATCGTCAACAGTCACTTGTGCCACAACTATGTCCCAATGAATAGAACCAAGTACCTGCTACCACGGAATTGACAATCCGTTGCACACGATCCTGATGGTTTTACTGACTAAAGCAAACTATCGTTCTAAACCTTTAAAAAAAATGTAAGCAGCACTGAAAAACTGCTGAGAATAAAATAATAATACACTACTCTTTTTACAGTTGGCAAATGAGTACCTCATGAAAAACACTCAGTCTCAGTCTCACTAGGTTTGTATTGTCACTGACTGCTGTCAAACACTGGTCACAAATTCCATGACATTATTACTGTCAAATGACAAGTGACTATTTTGTGTGTCTATCAGTAGCGTCTGGCCCTGGTCTATAGATGAAATGAGAGTACAGACCATCGAATATTAGCTCACTCAGCCTGTAGTGCATGTGCAAGCTGTTGTTGTGTCTGTTGTTCAAGATGGAGCTGTTGTAAGCAATAATCCATCTTATCTCATAGGTGTTATATCGTTATTCAAAGCCAGAGATTTATTGGGCCATTGGAGGAACTACACTGCAAAAAATAGGAGGAGAGGTGTGGTGATATGGGTTTAATGTCGCTTCTAGGATTATTGCACTTATATAGCGTAGTGCATGCACATGTTTTTGTGGCTGCTTATACCAGTCCAGACTAATGCTGATTGTATAGTGCTAGCCCACTGAAATACCATGCCACAGCTTAACATGGATACTCATACCCACTCATACACAGAATACTGACTCAGAGCCGACCAGTCCTTGCCCCTTAATACCAAGTGCCAGACAGGGTAACAACAAGTATGTTATAGGCTCACATCACGTGAGTTACGGTTGGTTGTTCTAGGCTCATGTCCCATGCCATTCGGCTGTTTGTTATAGGCTCACATCATAGGCCATCCTGTTGGTTGTTATAGGCTCACATCATGTGCCATCCTGTTGGTTGTTAAAGGCTCATGACACATGCCATTCTGTTGGTTGTTATATGCACGCATCACATGCCATCCTGTTGGTTGTTAAAGGCTCATATAGCCAAAATGGATAGAATTATCATTAAACCGCCCGCACGTTATCAGAAATGAGCGGGCCACTGTAACTTGATAATGCCCTCATATTGCTTGACGACAGGCCATTATCAAGCCCGTTGTTAGGTGACGTCATAGGGTAGAGAAAATGACGTCACGTATTATAGTGACGTCATCTGGTTTGTTCTATGACATTTCCATATTTGTAAAATGTGGTCAGTGAGATTCGTGTTGATTGCAGTAAGTGTTTCAAAACCGATGTTGTTGTTTCTTTTTATTTGATAACAAATTCCATCCATTTTAGCTATAATAACGATAACGCTCTTTTTCAGGGCATTATCATTTGCAGAAGCCTTCGGTCTTTTCAACTGCCCTCCTTCGTCGGGCAGTTAATAGAAAACCTCAGGCTTCTGCAAATGATAATGCCCTGAAAAATAGCGTTACCCTTCTAATGACACATGCCATCCTGTTGGTTGTTAAAGGCTCACGACATGTGCCATCCAGTTGGTTGTTATAGACTCACATCATGTGCCATCCTGTTGGTTGTTATAGGCTCACATCATGTGCCATCCTGTTGGTTGTTATAGGCTCACATCACATGCCATCCTGTGGGTTGTTTTAGGCTCACATCATGTGCCATCCTGTTGGTTGTTATAGGCTCACATCACATGCCATCCTGTGGGTTGTTATAGGCTCATATCACATGCCATCCTGTTGGTTGTTATAGGCTCACATCATGTGCCATCCTGTTGGTTGTTATAGGCTCACATCACATGCCATCCTGTGGGTTGTTATAGGCTCACATCACATGCCATCCTGTGGGTTGTCATAGGCTCACATCACATGCCATCCTGTTGGTTGTTATAGGCTCACATCACGTGCCATCCTGTTGGTTGTTATATGCACACATCATGTGCAATTCTGTTGGTTATTATACGAGCACATCACGTGCCATCCTGTTGGTTGTTATAGGCTCATATCACATGCCATCCTGTGGGTTGTTACAGGCTCACATCACGTGCCACCCTGTGGGTTGTTATAGGCTCATATCATGTGTCATCCTGTTGGTTGTTATAGGCTCATATCACTTGCCATCCTGTTGGTTGTTACAGGCTCACATCACGTGCCATCCTGTTGGTTGTTATAGGCTCACATCACGTGCCATCCTGTTGGTTGTTATAGGCTCACAACCCACAGGATGGCATGTGATATGAGCCTGTAAGCCATCAATGCTATGCCAATATTCCATCATCATCATCATCATCATCATCATCATCATCATCATTTCTTACCTGGTCAGCAGGGCTCCAGCTTGTGTAGTTATCCTGAACACATTTTTGTGTCAGCACAGAAGAGAAGTTGAGCTTGACCACTGTCCAGATGCTGCCTTTGTTCTCATGGCCGTATACACTGTGATCATAGCAACAGAAAAACGGTAACCATAGCAACAACAAAAACTGAAAACCATACCCCCGTTAAAATAGCAACACAAATGCTGTAACAATTGCAAAACTGGTGCCACAACAGTACTCTGCTCTCATGAACTGGATAAATTGTGTGCTAAGTTAATGATAAGAGAGATGGCGATGGTATTGTCAACCAAGCAACCAAGCAACCAAGCAACCAAGCAACCAACCAAGCAAGCAACCAACCAATCAATCAATGAATCACATGTACATTTGATAATAAATATAATTTGAACATTGAATATGTTAGCCTTTGTTAGAATATGTTGGAACATCCTAAGCTTTCTATGTCTGTGATTATTGTCAGCACTGCGATGTAATTATGGGAAACATTTATTACATCAGTATGGAAAGGATAATTGTATACAAAGTGTGCACCAGTTGAAGTGAGTACAATTGGACCATGAACTTTGGAAATACTCAATAATGATTCCAATCTCTCCCTACCTTGCAATGAGGGAGGTGATGCCCGGCTCGTTGAGGACCCCGTCCACACGGATCTGCTTCGATGACAAGAACTTCTCAGTTTGCCAGGTCTTGCCTTCATCAAGAGAGTAGCTGCAACCAATGAATGAGACTTTACACCATGTTCAGCAACGTTACAGTGATGTTCAGTAATACTTCAGATGACTCAGTAATGAAGTCATTGCCAAAAACCCAGTGGTTGAATAACAATGGCACAAATAATTATGACAACAATCATCCATGGTACATGCTAGTCCTTCCATTAAATACTATAACTGGAACTCCACAGTAGCCATTTTGACCACGCAATACATGATTCTCTTACCTCCCTCATAAGCATGGGGGTTTGAGAATGTGTTTTGACAAGTTTCCATGGCGACATGACATGACAGATGCAGATATTGCATAAAACTGGTGGAAAAATGCTATGGACACATGTAACTCCTTGACTTACTGCACGGAGTCAGTCAGGTTGATGGAGGCATCCTCTATGGCCGTCAGGACACTGCCCTGGTCCAGGATGTTGAACTTGTACCGACCTGCAGCCAGCGAAGTCTGGATCAAAAAGGAGATGGCTCTAACTGGCATTGCACGGTGTGTGTTTTTAATGTACAACTGTTCTTATTTTCTTAAAGATGTAAATGGAAATTATACACATTTGCCTGAATTTTTTCACAAGTCAATGCAAATTCTATAAAATTAAGAAAAAAAATGTAAAAAATTTGGAAGAAATTAGTAAAATCTAAATATTTTTTACATTTGTATACTTATCCTGCATTACTCCTTAATGCATTCACTGCTTACCTTGCGACAAAGAAACGGGACAGCTTACTGGTGATGGTCCTGGGCGAAAAATTAATAAACTGCTCGTAGTCCCACTTTTCACACCCCATCGCCGCTGTCCTGTGACCTCTGTGACCTTAGGTCACCTCTTCACATTACTGCCTGTCGCCCTTAGCTTAAGAAAGACATACTTTTGAGGTTTCTGAAGCTAAAGTGGGGAGGCAAGTCTGCGACGGGTGGGCCTTAAACGTAGTAATGCAAGATAAGTATTGAAACGTAAAAAATATTTAGATTTTACTAAATTATTTAATTATCCTGCATCACTCCTTAATGCATCTGTATCGGACAGCTTGGAGTTGGGAAACCCTCAAAATACAGAAACCTCAATAATTCACACCCTAATGGAAAGGTCACCAATTGATCGATACACCAGTGAAGCGGAAAAGTTCAGACAAACACCCTTATGGTCGGGTTATTTCAATGTGAAAACAAATGAACATAGGAATTAAAGAGTAGCTCCCTATACATCTTAGTAATAAAGACAAATAGCTCATCAGCTAAATCTTTAGTTAGTAGAATATAGAGCCTTGTAGACAATCGATTGTCTAATATTCTTCCACTGGCGAAATCTGATCGACTGCACCGAAAATTGAAACGGCTCTGTATAGGGTGAGTTCATTATTTGTGTTAAATAGCCAAGGAGGCCACTGAAATGCCAAATGGGAGCACTCCCCACTGGTAGTGAGCCCTATTGAACTGGAACCTGAGGAACCTGTGGTCGTTGGGATGGATCGGTGTATGCAGATATGCATCCTGCAGATCAAGACTGATCAAAGAATCGAACGCTTTTTATGCTGGTTCTGAGTAGTCTTGTGATTTTTCCGGAACGGCCAACACTGAGTTAAGGGCAACCAAATACGTAGTAATGGTGCCACCTTTCAAGAGTCTTTGGCTAAGAACTGAGGTGACACAGTTGTAGGGTCTTGACTTTTTGCCCTGTTTCAAGTTTCAAACTTTTGTATTACCCTTGGAAGTAAAACTTGTGGCGGAAAAGCATACGCTTTTAGCCCTTCCCTAGGAATGCTGAACGTGTCCACCACCCAAGCTTGCGGATGTGGTAACGGGGAGACATACATCCTGAGCTGGTAATTTTGGACAGTTTCACACAGGTCGATGTTTGGTTGCCCAAACTTCTGAAGCAGTAACTTGAATGCTTCTGTGTGAAGTTTCCACTCGGTGGAGGCCACCCTGTCTGGATGCGATAAAGCATCAGCCAGAATGTTGCGACATCATGGGATGTGCTGAACTATGAACTGTAGTTGCAGGCGATCCAATAGATGGAAAAATCTGAATGTGTTGAAGTAGAGAGTGGGAGTGTGTTGTTCCCTGATTGCACAGACCCCACACCAGTGCTGTTGTCTGTGGATATTGCGAGTTGGGCTGACTGTAGTTGATTCTGCCAATGAGATATGGACAGAATTAAGGCTTCCAACTCCAAGTTGTTTATGTGCCACTTTCGATTAGCGCCTGACCATAGCCCTGAGGCTGTCTGGCCTTGCAGGCCTTGAGCCCTTCTTGGGTACCAGGTAGATGTGAGAGAAAAACAACCCGGTGTTAACGCTGGAGTGTGTATAATCTCTACGGCTCTCTTCTCCAACAACATGACTATGTTGGCCTTTAATAGCAGACGTTGTTTTCTTGGATAATTCCAAGGGAGAAGAGCCATGGTCAACGGTGGAAGTACCTCCACGTCTAGTTGGTAACCGTGACGTAGAACGTTGAGAACTTAATCGTCCTTGAGGATGCTCCAGTTCTTCCAAAATCGATTCAGTCTCCCGCCTGCAGGGGTATCAACAATTAGGACGACTGGGGGCGAGAAATCCTAGTTGTGACTGTCCAACATTTCAGTGTTTACCCCTCTTATCACCTCCCTTACTGTGGTATGTACCACGCCGAGATTGATAAGAACCTTGAGGTGCATGTCCATAATCTGTTCTTTGAACAGAGACGTGGAAGACCAAGGTTGACGTAACAACATGCACTTAAACTCCAAGTCCCAAGTAGATAGGGCTAAATAATCAAGCCTCCTTGTGACAGTTATTTCTGCCAATGCAGCTTTAAGGTGATTTCTCATATGGACAATCTGACGCTGCTGAAAATCGACTATAGTTTGGAGGTGATCTAGTCGGTTAGGGTTATCCTCTGACAGATCCTGCTCTACCGCACGTGTTGACGATGCTAGTGCTGATAAAGGTTTTAATACCCTTCAAATTTCCGTTTAAAAAAACGCACCTCTGGTATCCTGAACCTTGAGAGTAGTAGGCCTTGACAAGCCTGCCATTCTCTGTATATCCTCATCCAAACTATGTGCCTGGTCTGTTGCCTCAAAGCCAAGGATAGGAAATTTATTTCCTTCTAAACTTGGGTGGCTAAAATGACAGCATAAGCGTCAGCCTGGAGAAGTCCTCATCCAAAGATCTAATCACATCTGTCATCATAGGGTCGACCGGAATCGACGTAGGATGTGACCATATGGTATCTTTTTTATCCACCCTGTTACCCGAGGAAGGCACTGAAATGAGGTGGTCCGCTACCCAATCCGGTACTAGTGACAGACCGAGATGAGCATTCCATTCTGCCGAGGAATCTCCCCCTTCACCATTAGAGTATTCTGACGAATCAGAACGATGTTGACATGTGCGTCTAGATGGTGAACGACTTCTACTCCGATGTGTAGTACTACGTCTGACCGAGGGCTTAGATGAACTGCCTGGTGAATAGGAGTCATACATCAATGTCTAAATATGCATTCTGGTACTACTCAACAATGAATGCGCTGTATCATGACGCACAATGGGAGTATTATATACATTAGGCGCCGGAGTAGATGGTTAGATCTGAGCCGTAGATGAAACTGATGCAGGTGTCTGATACATAGGCGTAGGCGTGGGAGCAGGATACAGTTGCATCATGGATTGCAGCCACAAGGATTGCAAAAAAAATGCATCAGATTAGTGTTCTGTAATGGCATTGACGCCTGAGCTTGCATCTGCTGCACTGGATAAGTTGGTACAGCGCTAAGCTGATCATGCGCTGCCTGCGTAACATTTTACGCTGATAGCCCTGGGGCTGACGTGATGCGCAGGCATCTGAGACGCAATGCTCAATGGTGTTGGCTTGAACGTATCTTGGGTTTGCGCTACCCCCATCAAAGCATCTTGAGACGCTGGCACAGTCTTCACAGATCTAGCAGATGTAGATTTCTCAGGCGACTGAAAATTAGGGTCAATTATGATACAATATCCTCTGGATTTGAAGTTTTCGGCGGTGCGTGCATTTCAGAAGTGACAGTAACGGCCGACATATTACCCGTCGAAGATAATGGTTGCATAGTAATGAACGAACCATGTCCCTCGCTAAACCGAGATTGTGACATCTGACATCTCTATTCGTAGTAAAACTCATTGGAGAGAGATTTACGCAATGAACACATTTAGAGTTTGGTGCACAAACATGCGTGCATGCCAGACAACACAGATGAGGCTCAAGCATAAGATACAGATTTTCAGATTTTAATTATCCTATCAGCAAAATATTGTAACAAGTTGAAAGTGTATTCAATAATTTGTATATACACAACTCAATGAAACGCCAAAGCTAGTAGTATTTAAGAACACATAAATATGTTATACAAACGTTGCTGAGAATTGTAAACAAATTGACTACCTTGGCAGACAAACAATTGTAACACAATTCAAAATGGCAGCGAAAAAACACATTTACGCCTAAATAAATGATATATAACTGCACAACATGTTGAGAGAAATATGAAAAGAATACATGACAAGGGCCGATGAATTTTAGAATTGTAGACGAAAACAGAAGGTCTAATATATCCAAAACGAGAGCTCCGCTGGTACACGTCCATGCTGTAGCGTGACAGGCAGTGATGTGAAGAGGTGACCTAAGGTCACGGAGGTCACAGGACAGCGGCAGTGGGGTGTGAAAAGTGGGACTACGAACAGTTTATTAATTCTTCGCCCAGGACCATCGCCGGTATGATGTCATTTCTTTGCAGTGAATGCATTAAGGAGTAATGCAGGATAAGTAAAAAATAAATTAAATCAGAACATATAATAATAATAATAATAATAATAATAATAATAATAATTCAATTTAACTTATGGAGAGTTACAACTATCCCACCCTGAAAACAATGGTTGTATCTAAAAGATACAAAAAAAGTATATATGATGAACAGTATGATACATAACACAGGGATTTGAACAGACTTTAAAACAGTCCATCTCAACACGCATGTACAGTACTTGGATGTTATTGGTAAATGATGCTTTCATAAATTTTCATGTACATTCACAATAGCACAGACATTTTGCAGATGTCCTTATACTCGTCAATTGAAACTCCTTACAGAGAAACATATACACATATATTAATTTTACGTCCATTTATTTTCATGTTGTTGTAAATTATAGACATGGCAGAAAGATAAGTTTGTTGTTGGCATATCCCTTAGAGAATATGGTTTCATACTGAAAGTGATAAGTGATATATTGAGTGAAATAATAGTTGTCCATGTGACACTGCCTGTTGCAGAGCTAGAAACACTCACCTGTGTCCAGGTCCAGCCCCCATCACGGCTGATGAAGACGGACATGGGCCCATCCTGAAGCTTGGTGCCAATGTTGCCGTGAGCCATCAGGATGCCTGGCGCCTTGGCCTCAGCCAGGATGCCCAGCACGTAGACACCTCGGACCATCAGGTGGATGGAGCAGTCGCTGGTCTGAGACAGAGAGTTGTTGATTGTGTCAAAACGTTTAACACGTGCTACTGAAATAATGATAGGGGCTGTGTTATGCTGAAAGTTACTTTGAAGAATTATTTTATCACAGCCTAACAGCCCAGCATGGTGCAGGTTGCAAGCATTGGGGAAATCCCACAGCAAGGACACGGTGTCGGTCTACCAAGGATCAATGTTGGCATGAGTCTTGGATTTGAACCCATGATCAGCAGATCCCGACAATGCTAAGGGACATAACCCATATACGTCATCACTGGTAGTGAGAAACCTCTTCGTTTAGGAATTGCTGTTGCATTCATACATGTCCTACTACGTGAGATGATGAAACTGCTGAATCAGATACAATGGCACGAGTACATTGAAAGAGTAATAATTGTGTGAACATGAGCATGATGAGTCTTACAGGTAATCACTGACACAATATGTCAAAATGACACCATTCTTCTTTAAATTTCAGAAACAAACCTTTCATGTCTAACACTAATTTCATCATATATGTCAAACAGTCTTCAATGCAGAGTTAAACCCCTTTTTATTCTACCTCAGATTAATGCAAACTTAAACCTTAAACAACTCACATTACATTTGGTCTTTGCTGATTTGGGTGTTGGAATGTCATTCCAGTTACCTCCCTTGTCAAAGGAGATTCTTGTACGGAAGCCATTATTATCAGCTATCTGGTTGACGATGTAGGTCCCGGAGATGCCTTTAACCTATTGAGAAAAATACAACCAAAATATTGAAGATACATACCATATTCACTGTTTTATGTGTCCATGTGTCCAACATTTACAAGAGTAGCTACTTATTTAGGACCAACTGCTGTAAATCTAGAAAGTTTTGCGTCATGAAATTATTGCGAGTGGCTAACAACAGCCTTAACTGCATCTGGAAATTTCTGCGACACCCTGTTGATGAGATTACCAGAGATGACAACTTCTTTTACATGTGTTATGTTGTTAGTAGAATGTGGCATGATGAAAATGTATCTGAGTGTCCGTCAGTGTTCATGAAAATACATGTACGTGATGTAGTAGTCCACGAGGAAGGTTGGAGTAGCGAGTTTATCTAACAGTCCTTTTATAAGGCTGGCGTATGTCTGGACTACACAGTGTTTATGAAAGTATACATGTACGTGTTGTAGTAGTCCACGAGGAAGGTTGGAGTAGCGAGTTTATCTAACAGTCCTTTTATAAGGCTGGCGTATGTCTGGACTACACAGTGTTTATGAAAGTATACATGTACGTGTTGTAGTAGTCCACGAGGAAGGTTGGAGTAGCGAGTTTATCTAACAGTCCTTTTATAAGGCTGGCGTATGTCTGGACTACACAGTGTTTATGAAAGTATACATGTACGTGTGGTAGTAGTCCAGGAGGAAGGTTGGAGTAGCGTGTTTATCTAACAGTCGTTTTATAAGGCTGGCGTATGTCTGGACTACACAGTGTTTATGAAAGTATACATGTACGTGTTGTAGTAGTCCACGAGGAAGGTTGGAGTAGCGTGTTTATCTAACAGTCCTTTTATAAGGCGGGCGTATGTCTGGACTATACAGTATACATGTACGTGTTGTTGTAGTCCACGAGGAAGGTTGGAGTGGCGTGTCTATATAACAGTCCTTTTATAAGGCTGGCTTATGTCTGGACTACACAGTGTTTTGTAAGCAACTTGACGAGGTGGGGCAGGTAAAGTGACTATACCATTGACACTGAGTGACAATGTAAAATTAAGGAACGATTTTGAATTGCCAAACAACTTTTTCCCCTTTTTCGGAAACACATTAAATGGCTTGGCCGGGCCTGTGTGCGAAATACGCTGCAGTCGGAAAGCGCACGTAAAATCTCCAATATAAGTAAGTAAGTAAGTAAGAATGAAAAACCTGAGTAACGTAATAGCTAAAAGAGATTTTTCAATATGGCAGCGGTGGTGGCCATACAGAAAATTGGAATTTTAACTTCTTAAACAAATCAGGATGTCATCATTGGTAGGGACAAATAGGGGAAGTTTCAGCTTCTTTGGTTGAGTGGTTTTAGGAGGAGAAGATGCTGACAAGGGACGATGCATAGACAAACAAAATGTTAGAGATAGGATGGAACTCTCGACATGCTACCTTATCGATAACAAAGAACATGTGAGATTTTGTTCCCAAAACATATGAGGGAGTGGGATGGGTGGTGCTTATTGGATCAAGATACTTAAAATGTCAGATGTGGTTCAAATATTTCAATCGATAGAGGACATTTGTAATTTCTTCATGTTTACAGTATCATGATTTTTGGGTGGTGAAGTCTCATGTGGAAATATCTAAAGTTTCTTGTTCATAAGTCATGATGAAAATGGTATAAGCACGACACATTGAATATTTTCATAGATGTTCAATTTCAGTGATCATGGCACAAGTATTGACTTCAGGGATATTTCAGGCATTGAAATACCTATCAATATTTTATCACTATTTCCCATAGAAAGCTGTTGCTAGGACACGCCATGATGACATAGCCCAGAAGCTGCCACAGAACACAAGCACAAGTAGCTACTGTTCCAGTATATTTTGCAATACATGACCCAGTCGGAACAAAGTTTTGCATAGGTCACCAGAAACCTATTGCTTCTTGTACGGCGTGAGTAAATTGGATCAGATGGTTTGGCTCTTTGTCTTGAGTGATTGATTGTGCCCTGATGGCGTGCGGCATTGGACATTAATTGATATTTTAACTAGTTCACAAAAACGATCTGCTACAGAGTTGCCATGTACCTAATGCTAAAAGTGGTAGTCCACAAGGAATTTTACTTGTCTCAGATTAGCAGATTTATCATGATTTATGTGAATTTCAAACCCTGGTATGGAATGCTGCTCATGATATCAAGCCTTGGTTCATGGAGTCCTCACTGTTGTGTTACTACCCGTGAAGATCCGGGTGAGAATTCGTCTTCAGCAACCCATGCTTGTCATAAGACGCATATATGCTTGTTGTAAGAAGAGACTAATGGGAATGGGTGGTCAGGCTCACTGACTTGGTTGATGCATGTCATCGTATCTCATTGCGTAGATCGATGCTCATGATGTCAGTCACTGGACTGTCTCATCTAGACTCCATTATTTACAGACCGCCCTAATGTAGCTGTAATACTCCTGAGTGTGGCGTTAAACAACAAACAAACAAACAAACACTCTTGTAATTTTGTTTGAATATTGTTGACTGTGGAATAAAACAAGAAGATAATTGACTACGAAATCACCACTATATATAAATCTAACCCACCTCATATATGTCAACATCAAACCAGTTTATCCGAGGTTTGAAAACACAGTTGGCAATTGTCAACACATAGAACTGTCCAGTGGCATCGGAGAGGTAGAGGTTTGCATTTGACAGGTGATTGACAGCAATGAACACTTGTCCTTCATCGGCATTCACAATCAGAAAGTCCTGGAACACCAATCAGATTCCACCATTACAGGTGAAACAGGTCATATCAGATTAAACTGTCAGTAAAAATACTAATAATTAGACATGGACAAGATTAAATATATGTTAAAAAGGAATTTTTCGAAAACTGAAAATGATGAATGACCATATACGTCAAGTTTTATATCCTGTTCTCTTGTTCCGAAAGCACTCGAGTATAATACTCCATTTTGGGGTATATCAATGCAACCTTGTGTAACAATGTCCAATAATAAATGAAATTATCCATACAATTAATGAATTAGACTACAAACGTAGACCAAGAAACAACCTGAAGTCTACACATTTTAGTCCAAAATAAGTGGCTTATTTCAATGTATATTTATTGACAGACTTGTTCCAAGATTACATGCTTACAATAATATTTATGCATCCCCTACATTTGCAAGACTGAATTTGCTCAATTCTTATGGGGAAAAAGAGGATGGTATTATCTATATTTTGCAGAGAACTAACAAAACAAACACCCCTAAAACCTAGGTTGATTCGTAATGTCACAGAAGTTAAAAAGAAAAAAGAAGGAATGCTTTTCAGATCTGCGCTTTTTTTTCATTTCAGGTTTTTTAAAGGGTTGGCTGTTTAACACACACACATGCCACCCCCACCCCACCACATCCCATGTACAGAAGACTGTGATCACCTTAGTGCTGGTCTGGGGAGGGAAGTAGGCTCTCTTGAAGTCTCCTCCCTTGTAGGAGACGTGCATGACGCTCTCAAACACTTTGCTTTTCTGAAACAAGACAGGAACATGAACTGCTCATTCCGTCAAAGCTAATTTCTGAACCAAGAAAGTATCACATGAAAAGAGAACAAAAATCTTAAAACAATGAACATTTAAGAGATATGTCCTAAAAGCTTGCAATATATCTGAACAGTAAGAAAACTTGTTAAAACAAGAAAATGACCAGCACCTGCACAAAGACATACTCTTTGATGATCAGTACCTTACCTGCACAAAGACATACTCTTTGATGACCAGCATCTTACCTGCACAAAGACATACTCTTTGATGACCAGCATACTGAAGGGGTCAAAGCTGCCAACGCTGCTCTCAAACTCTGCAGCATCACACTTGCTGACGATGCTGCATATCTTGTAGCGAGCTAGACCTGTTACATAAGAAATTCAGTGGTTTGTAAAGGTTACTTTTAACGACACAAAGTTTTGTGACTGAATAACGACTTTTCATGGGGCATTTTCCCCAATCTGGTATTGCCATCTGGTCTACCGATGACTTGGCCTAGATTGCTAGTTTTGTGTTCAATGTGGACAGCATATTAAATTTTGGACAGGGATATTCTTGCTTTGTACTCCTACACATCTATACAAACTCAAAACAACTTTTCAAAATGTTTAGAACCAACATTGTGTCCTTAAAGCTGTCACAACAATTACCTAAAGCTGATGCAGAGTGTGAATGATCAACACTACAGCAATATTCATACAATATGGAGGCGGATCCAGAATTCTAAAATTCATTTAAAATAGCTTTGACCAACAACCGTATCATTGTTATCAATAACAATGTAGTGAATAATGGCCAGTGGGAGCACAAAGAAGGCTATCACTGGCCCCTTGTCATTATTCTTATTATGCACTCACCACTATGCTAGCATCGTTTTGCATTAAACTTTATGACAACATCTAGGCCAATCTTACCCTTACCATGCTTACAATAATGCATTTGAGCCATTTCATGCTAGTCAGTAAAACCCTTCAGGATCATTTTCTAATTCCTTAAAAGCAACAGGCTAGTGGACCAGTATAAATGTCAATCCCTGGCATATGAGTCCTAATCCTCTAAGGCACCTCAAGTTGCTGTGCAGAGTGGCATCGTTTAGGCTAGTCACAAACCTACAGCAGAGGTTCCAATTCCTGTTCAATCTGGTTATGTTTCTAGGTCTGCTAGCACCAAACCCGTGCTCCTGACTTTCATCCAAAATGCTATATGTCTAAGATTAGCATCACTTTGGGCTTACCTCCCACATCAGACTGACAAGCTGTGATGTAACTGAAATACTGTTGGAAGTGGAGTTGAACCTAACTCATTCACTCTATCCATGCTGAAGGATGGGGGTGTGTGAACTAGGCTATGGTGTACACACAAGGAGTCTTACCGTTGGAGGTCTGAACTTCAACATGCACAGAGGTCTCGTTCTTGTCATACTTGGCATCAGCCCTGAAACGAACATCAATCCATTCTTCACTTAAAGAAACATGTGGAAGAGTCTAGTTGACAGTGTAGTACCACAGATACATGATAGACCATCTGTGGCTGACAGAAATAGTATTTTTTGTCTACGTTATGTGAATGTTGTGTCACAGCAGCCTGTAAATAATCAAATCTTGGCCAAAGAAAACCAGTGCAACATTGTGTCCTGTTGGGTGATGATGACATCCAATAAGCCATGTCACACATTACGACTGTGTTGCCTCTTATGACAAGTATAGGCCTTCTGGGATTCCGCTCTGACCTATTTACATGGTAAAAGGCTGAGTCTTAAATATTTTTGCCAGATGACATGTCCAAGAGTTCTCTTTTCATTGCTCTCTCCTCCATGACATATTCAACTTAGTATACTTTGGATGTACACGTCTGCCTGTGCCAACACTCAACCCGTAGGGATTCCGGGTAAGAATACAGGTCCCCGCAACATATGCATGTAGTAGAGGTGACTACATGGATCAGGTGGTCAGTGACTTGGTCTGCTATATATATATGTCATCATATCTCAATTGTGTGGATCGATTATCACAATGCCAATCACCGGATTGTCTGATCCAGATTTGGTTATTTACAGGCAGCTGTCACATAGCTGGAATATTGCTAAATTTGCAGCATCAAACAACAAAGCAACCCACACACATTAGGTCTTAATGTCAATATAGTTACTCTTTTTAGTTGCGCTTTCTAAGCAAAATGAAATTTCCCCTAAACATGCTAAACACTGGCTTTGCACAAATGACTGAAGTCACAGAGTGCCCTATCATGACAAATGTGAAAACAGATAATTATGACCACAAAGACTAATAATTTGAACAACAATCTCATGTGTAAATTACCGAAAAACTCATTCCTTACCAAAACACTCGTGGAGTGACGCCATCTTGGTTCATATCTTGCCATGTTACACCGAAGTCCTTTGACACGTAGAGCTGTAAAGAAAGCTTCCAGTGAGACTGACTGCTCATAAAGTATCAACAGTATCAAAATGAGTGGAGAATATTAGCCAAATGTGTTTCAATATCATAAATATCATTAATAACAACTTCATAAAAGAATTGCAAGTATAATACATATTTTGTATTCTTAACAATTTAATATATGCCGTGTGATACAATAACAAATGAGAGGTAATCATCTCCTATCATATACTGTCATCCTTAAAACAATCTATACTTAAAATGTATTTTCACTCACTGCAGTGCCGCCGTGTAGCTGGAATATTGCTGAGTGTGGCGTTAAACAAACAAACAAACACTGACATGACTTTTGAAAACGATCACCATGACCATGAATACAACACAACATATATTCAGTGACATTACAAACTTTATAGCTTTTTATTATTGATCAGTTGGATATGAATCATATTGTACAATTAAGCTTCTGTGCCGCCCTCAATAGGTGCATGGACATAGAGTTGCTGCCCCTTAACTCACCTTCCTCTGTTGGAGCGTGTACCCCAGGACGTAGTCAGCCATCGTGGGATGGGGCTTAAGCCGGTCTGGGATGAAGGGGATGGTCACAGTCTTCACAGTCTTCACATTCTTCAGCTCATCATGTGTGATATACAACGTCTTATTTGCTGTGTCGGCAAATATCAGCTGTGGAGCAAATGCATAATCTGGGTCATTATCAAGCATGCTACTTCCATTGCATTGTCACTTGAATCTACAGGAACAAACACATAAATAGAGCATGCAACACCAGAAATACAAATCTGAACTCAAGTCTGCAATTTTAATCCTATTATTACACTATCTGCTTATAAAAACATGTTCTTGTATATCTGGACTTATGTTTGTAACATATTTTTAAATTTTATTAAAAAATTCATTCAATATTGTTTACATTAATTTCGGTGAAAATTGTGTGTGAAGTGATCGGTAGATCACACAACTCATCGTTATTTACAGTAACCGCAGTCAGATTACCTCTAATGACGCCTTGAAACGAACTTTAGTTAACAGAGAATGGATACATATATCATAAATGCCATACTTTGACTCCTTAACAGTCATAACTGGGAGAAAGCATGTGTACAACTGATTGATGTTTCTGGCGGTAATCTTAATCTCTGCATATAAAACAATGCCTAGCAGACCAAGAAATACAATTTTAATGATAAATCATCATGTCTACAGATCTATCTACATTCTATCTAATTTTTTTACATTTTTATTGACGAAGTTTGGTTGTTCACCTGAATTCATTGAAGGGATACTGTGTGTTTTTTCTGAGCACAACACACAATAAATCTTTTTTCACATTATGAATCATAAACAACTACAATATCCTTATCTTTTTTCAAACTCTGAAACATGCAGCATAGATCGTGTTAGATAAGCAGAGCAAGCATGTATTGTTGTGTCTACCCTCTACGACTCCATGTCGGCTAAATCACTGATAACCTAAAACACTCATCAATTATTTGGACTCCCAAGGTAGCATTGTAGCAAGGGAACACTGTACAACATAACTACTCATAACCAGGTGATAACATAAACCCTCTCCCACTAAAATATGATAACAAAACTCCCTCTATACTATTTCCCACAACAACAGATAAACACAATATCTTTCAAGAAAAACAAATACAATATTACCCCACCATAACATTTGTATGCCATAACACTGTTTCCTTACACTCCTGGTGTTAACAACATATAACACAAAATATCACAAAAACACAATATATCCCCACATAACCATGCGACCCGTGAAGATCCAGGGTAGAATAGATCTTCAGCAACCCATGGTTGCCGTAAAAGGCCACTATGCTTGTCATAAGAGACGACTAACGGGATCAGGTGGTCAAGCTCGCTGACTTGGTTGATGCATGTCATCGTATCCCAATTGTGTGTATCGATGCTCGTGATGTCAATCACTGGATTGTCTAGTCCAGATTCGATGTTTTCGCTACAAAATTTCCATAAATAAGAGTTTTCACATAGAAACAAGATTTGACAAAATTTGCTAATGATACCACAATGCTGACAATGTGCCCCCCAACAGTTGCCTCACCCTGCTGGAGTTGGCGGGGGAGACGTAGAAGAAGGTGATGAGCGCCTCCTTCCCATGGTGTGTCAGGGAAACCTTCTGGTAGTGGGAGCCATAGTCCTGCGACCTGGCATAAGCAAATCGTGAAAACATCAACGAACGCTCAAGTATGTTACAGGGTTATTGAGTTATTCAAGAGTCAACAAGTTAGATGGCCTTACGTTGAATGCTGGCAAGCAATAGCCTATTTTACATAGCATCGTTGTGTAATAGTCTGACAAAATTATGCATATTTTCATCTAGTTGGCAAAGTTTACCTTACTCCCTAGTCAAATTGAAATTAGGATATTCAGAAATTAGCAACTGATTCCTGTGAGAGAAGAAGTGAAACTATTCATGGCTAATTTCCTGTATATAATGTATCTATTATGCATGCTTTGTGACCATAGCAACAGCTAACAAAATGGTGGATGATTATGAAGTTGTCAATAATGTGCGGGGGAAGTGTTTTTTATTCAGGTTCATAACGAATTACAGATGCAAGAACACAAGCAATACATTGTGGCATGAAACGCAATACATGAATCATTATTCAATAAAATTGCAATTATTGCAAAAGTCAGGCCAATATCAAACTCTACAATATTCCATTGTATACCATCAATCATGGTCATCAAGTTCCATGTCAAGCACCAAACTTCACTTCCCCATTGTCTGTGTAACCATGGTAACAGTTATCATCATCATCATATGATATGGTCAGGGATGGTAGAAATTGTCTGCTATAACTAATTTGATTCATTTTTATGCCATGACAGCTTGTAATGCATATTGTGGGAGGCAAGATTTAAGTGAAACCATGGACATGCAAATGGATGGACGTAACGAGACATGGAGAAACCAAGAACATGCATATGGGTTGACATAACGAGACATGGAGAAACCAGGAACATGCATATGGGTTGACATAACGAGGCATGGAGAAACCATGGACATGCATATGGGTTGACATAACGAGGCATGGAGAAACCATGGACATGCATAAGGGTTGACATAACAAGACATGGAGAAACCAAGGACATGCATATGGGTTGACATAACAAGACATGGAGAAACCATGGACATGCATAAGGTTGACATAACGAGACATGGAGAAACCATGGACATGCATATGGGTTGACATAACAAGACATGGAGAAACCAAGGACATGCATAAGGGTTGACATCACGAGGCATGGAGAAACCAAGGACATGCATATGGGTTGACATTATAACGAGACATGGAGAAACCAAGGACATGCATATGGGTTGACATTATAACGAGGCATGGAGAAACCATGGACATGCATATGGGTTGACATAACGAGGCATTGAGAAACCAAGGACATGCATATGGGTTGACATTAAAACGAGGCATGGAAAAACCATGGACATGCATGTGGGTTGACATAACGAGGCATGGAGAAACCAAGGACATGCATAAGGGTTGCCATAACGAGGCATGGAGAAACCATGGACATGCATATGGGTTGACATAACGAGGCATGGAGAAACTATGGACATGCATATGGGCTGACATAATGAGACATGGAGAAACCAAGGACATGCATATGGGTTGACATAACGAGGCATGGAGAAACCAAGGACATGCATATGGGTTGACATAATGAGGCATGGAGAAACCAAGGACATGCATATGGGTTGACATAACGAGGCATAGGGAAACCATGGACATGCATATGGGTTGACATTATAACGAGACATGGAGAAACCATGGACATGCATATGGGTTGACATAACGAGACATGGAGAAACATTGGACATGCATATGGGTTGACATAAAAGGCATGGAGAAACCAAGGACATGCATATGGGTTGACATAACGAGGCATGGAGAAACCAAGGACATGCATATGGGTTGACATAACGAGGCATGGAGAAACTATGGACATGCATATGGGTTGACATAACGAGGCATGGAGAAACCAGGAACATGCATATGGGTTGACATAACGAGGCATGGAGAAACCAAGGACATGCATATGGGTTGACAGAACGAGGCATGGAGAAACCAGGAACAGGCATATGGGTTGACATAACGAGGCATGGAGAAACCAAGGACATGCATATGGGTTGACATAACGAGGCATGGAGAAACCATGGACATGCATATGGGTTGACATAACCACGCATGGAGAAACCAAGGACATGCATATGGGTTGACATAACGAGGCATGGAGAAACCAAGGACATGCATATGGGTTGACATAACGAGGCATGGAGAAACCAAGGACATGCATATGGGTTGACATAACGAGGCATGGAGAAACCAAGGACATGCATATGGGTTGACATAACAAGGCATGGAGAAACCATGGACATGCATATGGGTTGACATAACGAGGCATGGAGAAACCAAGGACATGCATATGGGTTGACATAACAAGACATGGAGAAACCATGGACATGCATAAGGTTGACATAACGAGACATGGAGAAACCATGGACATGCATATGGGTTGACATAACAAGACATGGAGAAACCAAGGACATGCATAAGGGTTGACATCACGAGGCATGGAGAAACCAAGGACATGCATATGGGTTGACATTATAACGAGACATGGAGAAACCAAGGACATGCATATGGGTTGACATTATAACGAGGCATGGAGAAACCATGGACATGCATATGGGTTGACATAACGAGGCATTGAGAAACCAAGGACATGCATATGGGTTGACATTATAACGAGGCATGGAAAAACCATGGACATGCATGTGGGTTGACATAACGAGGCATGGAGAAACCAAGGACATGCATAAGGGTTGCCATAACGAGGCATGGAGAAACCATGGACATGCATATGGGTTGACATAACGAGGCATGGAGAAACTATGGACATGCATATGGGCTGACATAATGAGACATGGAGAAACCAAGGACATGCATATGGGTTGACATAACGAGGCATGGAGAAACCAAGGACATGCATATGGGTTGACATAATGAGGCATGGAGAAACCAAGGACATGCATATGGGTTGACATAACGAGGCATAGGGAAACCATGGACATGCATATGGGTTGACATTATAACGAGACATGGAGAAACCATGGACATGCATATGGGTTGACATAACGAGACATGGAGAAACATTGGACATGCATATGGGTTGACATAAAAGGCATGGAGAAACCAAGGACATGCATATGGGTTGACATAACGAGGCATGGAGAAACCAAGGACATGCATATGGGTTGACATAACAAGGCATGGAGAAACCATGGACATGCATATGGGTTGACATAACGAGGCATGGAGAAACCAGGAACATGCATATGGGTTGACATAACGAGGCATGGAGAAACCAAGGACATGCATATGGGTTGACAGAACGAGGCATGGAGAAACCAGGAACAGGCATATGGGTTGACATAACGAGGCATGGAGAAACCAAGGACATGCATATGGGTTGACATAACGAGGCATGGAGAAACCATGGACATGCATATGGGTTGACATAACCACGCATGGAGAAACCAAGGACATGCATATGGGTTGACATAACGAGGCATGGAGAAACCAAGGACATGCATATGGGTTGACATAACGAGGCATGGAGAAACCAAGGACATGCATATGGGTTGACATAACGAGGCATGGAGAAACCAAGGACATGCATATGGGTTGACATAACAAGGCATGGAGAAACCATGGACATGCATATGGGTTGACATAACGAGGCATGGAGAAACCAAGGACATGCATATGGGTTGACATAACAAGACATGGAGAAACCATGGACATGCATAAGGTTGACATAACGAGACATGGAGAAACCATGGACATGCATATGGGTTGACATAACAAGACATGGAGAAACCAAGGACATGCATAAGGGTTGACATCACGAGGCATGGAGAAACCAAGGACATGCATATGGGTTGACATTATAACGAGACATGGAGAAACCAAGGACATGCATATGGGTTGACATTATAACGAGGCATGGAGAAACCATGGACATGCATATGGGTTGACATAACGAGGCATTGAGAAACCAAGGACATGCATATGGGTTGACATTATAACGAGGCATGGAAAAACCATGGACATGCATGTGGGTTGACATAACGAGGCATGGAGAAACCAAGGACATGCATAAGGGTTGCCATAACGAGGCATGGAGAAACCATGGACATGCATATGGGTTGACATAACGAGGCATGGAGAAACTATGGACATGCATATGGGCTGACATAATGAGACATGGAGAAACCAAGGACATGCATATGGGTTGACATAACGAGGCATGGAGAAACCAAGGACATGCATATGGGTTGACATAATGAGGCATGGAGAAACCAAGGACATGCATATGGGTTGACATAACGAGGCATAGGGAAACCATGGACATGCATATGGGTTGACATTATAACGAGACATGGATCATAATCAGTGAGAATCTGGGGTTCAACACAGAACTAGAGAAGCCTGACCAGCTAATTGCAGCACCTTATGAAACATAGTTCAGTGGTTCTCCACTGCCTGACAATATAACCACACTTGAATTATTTCTAAATATGAAATAATACTTACTGCCAAAGTTTACTGCTGATTACTTCTCCTAACAAATTTCTCTGACGGGTGAGAATGAATATCACCTGAAAAAAAGATGTAAGTGAATTACTAAATGCCCAAGTCCAAAACATAATAATGATTAATAGTAGGGACCAACGATTTGATATGGCATGATATCGGGGGGTTGGAATTTTGTCTTTAGGTTAGACATTATTTCAGCTAGATATTTTTATATTTAAAACTTTGGGCCTGAATTTTTTTAAGATAAACACCTAGAAACAATATCATTTTTGCAGCAGGCAATTTCTTTTCTTCAAACAGAAAGAAGCATGATTATTTTCTAAAAATAAATTCTGGGGACTATATAATTATTTTAGATACAATCCCAGCCCAGTGTATCAAATGGTCAGTCCCTTATTAGGCATCCTATAGGTATCATGTGACATGAAAAATGGTGTTCTGGAAACACGTCTTGCTTTAGAAAGGTGAGAATAAGGAATTAAAAACAAATCGGTTACCATGTTTAGTATCTGTATCTCAAGTCACATGTTATCTCAAACCTGAAGGGTTGGTTCCTTCAAGTTCAAGATAGAGGGAGTCCACTGTATGCCAACAATGGTCAAAGTTCTGTTTCCTACATCCTGACAATTTCAGATGAGAAGATGTTTTCAGAGAATTAGAAAACACAACAGTCAAAACACTGGACAAGTAGGCCATGACATGCTAGACTTCACTCAGGTGAGCTAATAAGAGTAAGAATTAAGATGATTTATATATTTGGTGACTAACTTAGTAAACAATGATCAAATGGATATGGCTTTTGCTTATTCGTGTTCATCAGCCTTCAACAATTAGTTGGTTGTCAAAATTTGGTTTTCTTGGACGAGCCGACATGCTAATACAGAACCCAGGCATTATCATGGTAGTGTTGCATCTAGGCTTAGCTTCACATCACGAACTATTAACTGGTGACTGGACCAAACATACATCTATGTGTGTGTCACTTTTATACTACATGGCCTTGAGAAAGATATTTCTCAACATAATTGACAGATGGTAATCTGAGGTTGTCCTCCTCCTCATAATTACTATGTTGTCCCAGTGCCAACAGAGCCAGGATACAGACTTTATGAGAAAACCTTCAATATATTTCTGTGCAGTACAAAATACTTTCAGTATGTTCATGTTGTAGCAAAACATTCTGAGTGCAATTCTTTTTCATTTAAAGTATAATCTACTACACACTAGTGGGTCTAGTCATGCTTTCAAAACACAAACTTGAACACTTAATCATGTTTTATTGTAGTAGCCTGACACTCTGATAGCCATCATTTCCTTCTTAATATTGACTTCCTGATTTAGCATCTGTTCATAATCCCCCATTACACAGTATATTCCAGTATGTTACCTAATTATGACATGAAGGGTTAGAAGGTCCACAGCAACTTTGTCATGGCAAAATGAATTGGGTGGTCAGGCTAAGTCATGTAGTAACTTGGCTGAGTGCATGTCATAATGCCCTGGCAGCATGGGGGACATTGCACATCATGTCGACCACCGATTTGCCAGATCCACTATTGTAATCATTGTTATATCACTTTCAGCATGTACTGATAGCACTTGGCAGAAAAACACGAATTTTATGAACACAACTGAAAGCAGAACATAAATTAAACGTTTGCTTTGTCACACTATTTACTGACATAATAAGATTCTAAAACCTATTTGCCCTGATTCTACTGACAAGTTGCCTATTACTTCCTCATGACAACTGCATTGCCTTCTGCATGTCATGTGACTGACAGTCATTCAAATGTCTTGGAAAATGTCATACGTAAGTCGGAGAACCAAATGTTTTCGTCCGCCAGAGATCTCTGACATCCTTCGCCTGTGTCCTTGCCATATCGTACCTGGTACCTGGTACCTCCCCTCTCCCCGGGATTACAGGGACTTGTAGGTAAACAGACGGTGAAAGTAAACACACTCTACAACATCACAACTGCTACACGTTTTGTCAGTTAAATATGTATACATACGTTGCTTTTGTTCCCAGACCAATGCATGTATGCCTCTCTGTGCTTCTCCGTCTCGTCTAGGTACGTATCTGTGAAATCGAGGTGTGTATCGCTGTAGTTTGACGGTGCTGGGCTCGCGACATCGCGCCTCACTCTGACATGAAGAAAATCCTCATGATGCTCGCTGATGTCGAGTTTCCTTGGTGTACAGCTTGCTGTGTACCTATCCTCCCGTAAATGAACAGCTGAAACCAATGCGAGTTCCAAGGAGACAAAAACGGCGATAAAAATAGCCATGCACACTGGGCCCGGAATGTTTTGGTACGCCATCTTTGATCTACTACCGTCCGCAGCAAATACATTGGGCGTTTTGATTGGTTTAAAGTTTCCCAACTTCCGTGTTCGGAAAAGATCAAAGAGATGTTTGCTATAAATGATATTACGTACTTACATATCATTACATGCTAGTGCGTTGTGTTATCTACAAGACAAAGGTATTGACATTTCACTGAAAATATAATTGAATGAATGTGCATGTTAATGCTACCAATGGTTCGACATGAAACACAATTGAAAATATAAGCGTGTGAGTTGGTCGAATTTACCGCCGCTTTGAACAGTGTTATTTCATTATTGGGAAGGAGTGTCACAAAAGTATGTTAAAATGTAACGTCGCATCGGCGTTATGCCAGCCATATACCGACGAGAACAAGTTTAGTTATGAATACAAATTTATATTTACAAACAAAATTGTTAAACAATTTTGGGCACACCAATATAATTTATAACTTTAAAACACGGGCTATAAGCCATCAGTAACCAAAGCTCGGCCACCTCGCTGGGGATCATGGTGACTTACTGTGCCGAATGAACGTGCTAACCATCTTGGCGAAACCTACTGGCACTGTGTGTAGATCAAGAGATTCGATTGGAGAAAAGCATTTACGTAAAAAAAAAAAATAATGTTCATAGAATTCAAATAGATAGTTTTGAACAATGCTTTTCAATTAATGTTAATATTGAGTGAGTATGGTTTAACGCCGCTCTTCAATCATAACTCAAAAGTTATAATAAAATTAGCTTTGTGAGTGAATGCGACCCGTGAAGATCCGGGGTAGAAGAGGTCTTCAGTCGTAAAAGCGACTATGCTTGTCATAAGAGGCGACTTACGGGAATGTGCTGCCTGATTGTGTTGTTTAAAGGGATAGTCACGTGAAAGAGTGAAAATAGTGAATCCAGTTTCAATATGGACACCTCAAAAAGGTGGTCGAGGTGACCCACGGGATTGAGGTGATGGCTGAAAGCAATGAACACACTTGTAATGCCATTGAGAAAGTGGTCAAATGTAATATCTGGGATAACACTTTCTTACTAAAGTACAGATTCTCTTTTGTGTTGAGTCCTGCCCGGGAAGCGAACCCATACTGCCAGAGTAAGGCACCTAATCGCCAGCACACAATATCAGCGCTCTGACGCACTCAGCCACCGAGGCTGCCACAAAAAGGAAAGTCCGACAACTGTTAGTCTAAATTACGTACTTTGTGTACCCCCTCAGCTGGCGATTAGGTGCCTCAGGTGCAATGTGGGTTCGAATACCGGACGGGACTCAACCCCAAAAAGTACTACAAGAATCTGTACATTACTCAGAAAGTGTTATCCCAGATATAACATTTGTTACATTTGACCACTTTCTTGAAGGCATTGTGCGTTCATAGATTCTGATATAACTACTTTTTGTTGTGGAAGACAATTCAAGACATGTCGGTGGGCCGAACCAAATCACTACCTGTATTCATTTTCGATATTCACTTTCACTTTCGATGTGTGTTTGTTGAACAAGGGATATAGTTTTTTGGATATAGAACTTCTTTATTACAATGACTTCGTTACAATAAAGACGTTGTATATCCATAGAACTATCTCTCTTGTTCATCATACCAACTTCTAAATGCCACTTAAAGAAAGTTGTTAGTTTGCTGTTTAACGCCGCACTCAGCAATATTTTCGCCATATGACGACAGCCTGTAAATAAGTGATTGATATTAAGTGTGAGCAACGATCCACGCAGTCGGGTTACGATGACAAGCTATCATCCGAGCCATGAGAAGTCGTCTCTTACGACCGGTCTCAGTTGTTGGGGACAGACTGTAACCCGAAACGTCCACGGGTTAGGCGATAGAGGTATGTTTTTGTTTGTTTATTTGTTGTTTAACGCCGCAATGAGCAATATTCCAGCTTTACGACGGTGGTCTGAAAACATTAATCAAGTCTGGACCAGCTAATCAAGTGATTGACATCATGAGCATGGATCCACGTAATTGGCCATGGGATACGATGATATGCATCAACCAAGTCAGGGAGCCCGACCACCCAATCCCGTTAGTCGCCTCTTACGACAAGCACAGTCGCCTTTTACGGCAAGCATGGGTTGCTGAAGACCTATTCTATCCCTGAATTTCCAGAATGATAGAGTATGATCTTTTCTATGATTTGTAGCAATTCAGATATATTTCCACTTTAAATACTGCCACGTAAAATGGCAGACTTTTTCCTACCACCGGTGCCACCGGTGGGGCAGGATATGATCACCTTTTCGCGTGCCATATTTGTTATGGGTTTGAGGAAATTACATGGGGCCATGGGCAATTAGGATGAGTAATCGTTGGAAAGATGTAACCAAAGTTTTTAAAGAAAAACTTTATCTTTGTCTCACATGTGCATAATGACGTGCGTACATACGATATACATAAATCATTATAAATCAATATTTTATAAAACATTCCTAACTGTAAATTTTACACAGAACATGTTTATGTTATTCGGCAACAATCGTAACAGTGAGCCACGTTCTATATCATAGACTGGTTTACCTGCCCTAGAGCGTATGCGCTCCTCGCCTTCAGCCGCCAGTAGGCGAAGGGTCATCTTCCCGAGGCAAGAGAGTTAACTGACTTAGTCAGTTAACTCACCTGCCTCGGGAAGATGGCGAAGGGCAGGGTACCAGTCTAGCTCTATGCAACCTATTTCCCCATATAGCATTTCGCTGCAGTGAAACGATGACCAATTTCCGTGAGGCGGGCTGCCTGTCGAGAGGGATGGAGACAGACCTACAGCATATCACTTTGCGGGAAACATTGACCAAGTTTCCATGTACCGAGATATTAGCACTTTTGGACAATGATAATAATTGACGTTGTCAGGCTACAGGAGTAAAAATATTCCCATTAGGGAGGTAACTCTCATAGAGAAGTATAGTTCATGGTTCAAACGCACAGACAACGTGCATGGTGGGTTTCAATTTTAACACTATATGCATGTCTCCATGTGCAGATTAAATATTAAAAAATATTGATAACTTTGCCACTGTAGATATATATCATTGTCAACAGTGTCAATTATACTACAATGTTTGTGTCAACTTAATACCCCATGTTCCTTGAAAACAATCAATGTTTCAGGAAGGCATTGTTGTGAAAACATATTACTAGTTTTGTTTTCATAATATGTTTGTTTTCTACTTATGTATTACATAAGTATTTAAACTGACAAAGTGCTATATTCCCATTCCTGATTCTAAAGGTGCCACATGCAAATTACAATATGTTTATTCTTCTGGGTTACACATAAGCGCTTTATGACAGTCTAGATCAAGGTACTTGCATCAACAGGTAGGTTTGCCACAAGCTTTCTTTGCGCCGTGTTGATCCTCTGGATTAAAGTTATCTTGTCACTATTTGATAGTGATTCATAGACACATGCTCACGAAAAAGTCGGAGTCGTACAATCTTTCAGGGATTTCTAAAGAATATGGAAAGGGATTTTGTTGCATTTATTTACGACAGGACCGCAGCCCCCAAAAGTGACACAGTGAACCTTTGATGGCAAACACGCGGAGCACGGGTAGACAGTAAACACAGCTAATATAATACTGCCGTCACGAGAAGTGATTCGGAACAGTTCATATAGCGGTCATCTATACATACCCACAAGGAATCTTTCTCGGTTGAATACACAACGTATTCGCCTGCGTCACAGTGTAAAGGAGGAACTGATAGGGATTGCCTAAAAGTCGGGCCAAGAAAAGTCGGGCCGGGCCAGCGGGTAATACTAAAAATGGATTGCAGAATAATAAAACGAAACGTACATATCTCGGCAGATCTCAAATGTCCACAAACGTATAGTTTTTTTTCATTTAATTGAGTTTGAATCAAAATGCATCTTCAACAATGTAATAAATTGTTAATTATGACTACATACCGTGAGTCCTCGTAGAAAAGTCACTGACTTTACTGTGTGTTTTCTTTGATGAGAAGGTTTCTCACCGACCTTAGCGTATAGGGGTGTGATGTCCTGGGCAGGAAATGACAGTGTTTCGACTACTCTTCTTTCATTAATTAACGTGTTCGGCATCCCTAATTAACCTTTACTAAATCATGTTAAACAAACACAGGATGTTTTCTGGAAGTGGATATTCTTCGAATGTCATAGGGCTGACACGACACGTGTTAATAACTGTCCTAGCACTTCAAAAGTTACTAAACATTCTTTATACCTAAAGACTAGTATTATATCTACCTATATATCACTTTAGTGTCTCATATTGCAGTAGTTAAAGAAAACACGGTGCTCAAAGGGAAGCCCTTTTCCCTATACATTCTAAACGTTCTTTATTAGAAGTGATTGGTCTGTGCTCGGTCCGACTTGGCCCGGGCTGTCACAATCAACTTAAACTCACAGATGTATGATCAAATGTGTTTACATCTATGGACTAGTATTATATCTACCTACATATCACTTTATAATGTCACAGAACACCGCATTTAAAGGAAACGGGCCCGTTAAAGTCAAGCACTTTTACTGTATTTTCTCAAGAAAATCTGTCACATGTGTTTGCCGCGACGCGGCCCGGGCTGTCAAAATCAACTTAAACCTCATATATGTATCATGCCATGGATTCAGATCTATAGATTAGTATTATATCTACCCATATACCACGTCATAGTGTCTCATATATCTAAAGAAAACAAGGTGCTCAAAATGAAGCCCTTTTTATTCCACATTCTCAACATCCTCAAAATAGTCTATCAGAAGTGTTTGGCTTGTGTTGGGTCCGACTTGGCCCGGGCTGTCAAAAAATCAACTTTAAACATACAGATGTATCATCAAATGTGTTTACATCTATCGATTCGTATTATATCTACCTATATACTACTATACTATACTTATAATGTCACAGCACATAGCATTGAAAGAAAACTGAACCGTTAAAGTCAAACACTTTTACTGTATTTTCTTACGAAAATCTCTGTCAGAAGTGTTTGGTCCGACTTGACATCCCTT